AGATGAAGAACATTCAATAAAGATGTTAACTGGCCTGCTAAATCTCCGGATCTCACACCTATAGATTTCTTTCTTTGGCCTTACGTAACGACCTTAAAAACAGAGTAAGAGTAGAATGTCGGAGATTAAATGAAGAAACACTAGAATGTGTTTGTATAGAGGGAGTGATAAACAGAACTATTCTGTGTTTGGAAGCAAATGGAGGTCATTTTGAAGATTTGAATTAAGTATTGTTTTAAATTGTTATATTATTATCGTATTAAAAATAAAACATATTACTTTAAAAAACATAGTAACTTGTTTCCGCAGATGGCTATCATTTTTCAGAATAAAACTACTGAAAGTAAGGTTAATCTTTTTTGCTGTTTTTCTAGCAATATTTCTAAAGAAACTATAGACTTCCTTATATAGCTGAACGCAGAAAAAAAAATATCTTCCAAAATTGATAAAAAAATATATAGTGTGCCATTTGAACAAAAACAGTTGACTATAGCAATTGTGACATATGTTACCATGGAGATGATCTAATAATGTCATTTGATAGAGTTTGAGCGGCGATTTAAAAATATATAGGGTTTGTTGTAGCTATTTGTTAAAATAAGAGAGATACGAGGTCGCAAATACCAAATTGAATCACCCGGTATAAATTTCAAAATTTATTTAAGAATAAAATAATTATTTGTTGAAACTAACTCATATTTATATGATTTAAAATTAAAACATAGTATTAAAAAAAAACTTTACAACTAAATGTTTGCCTGCGGAGATTATTTAAATTTATCCTTGTTATAATTGATACGGTAATGGACAAATTAAAGAAGAAAACTATAAGCAATTTTTTGTAATGAATCTATGTATTTCACAGAATTATCTGAAGTAAGGCAAGAATACAAGTTCTCTATTTTTAATGCTGCTTTGTTAGAGCCTTTGTTGTACTTATATACATCTAGTTCTAATTACGTTTTATAGGAAATACCATCATTACGTTCCGAAACTTTGTTTTGACGTACCCCCCACTCACACTGCCTCTTATTATATCAGTTTTCTTTTGACATACCTATGTCATTATCCCTTGCCACACATTTACCGATGAGTTTATAAGTTACGCTACCGTATAAGTTAAAGAATAGTTGACCAATGCCCACAAATTGCGATGTTTTGTAAGCTGTCAGCTCCAGGGGGCGCCACGAATGACACCTTTATTACCACATTATAACAGTTTAAGTAACGAACCTTCTCTTTTTATGGTAAGCATTTTTAGATTTGAAAGTGTTGACTGTGCTGCCCCCTAGCCGCGGAGAGCCTAAGCTCCACTAAAACTGCGGCAAACTCAACAATTAACGGACCATCGTATTGATCGAGTTACCTTGGATTAACTCTGTTTCACATCATAACCACCATATATGTATTAATAAGTATAACTTGAACCATTTATACAAGGTGATTCACAACATATCCAAAAAATGTGGTCTGAGATATGGAGTCAATATCGTAAAAAAATTTTTTGTAAAATCCTTATAGTTTCCGAGAAAAAAATTATTGAAGTTGTAGTACATTCAACCATTACATAGCCGGGCAACTGTAGTCTCTAGCGTCACACGCAATACGCGTGGAGAGCCACATGGCCTCAGCGAGTCCGAATACTGAAATCCGATTGTACAATTGTCATCGTTGCGATAGTGTTTACTGTGGTGGTGTTTACAATAGTTTTTTAGTAGTTAGTGTCAAAAATGGCTAGCATGTATAGCAATTCGGAGTTGATGGATATCGTTTTAATTTATGGTGAAGCAAGACAACATTTGTATTATGGTGAAGCATTTCATTTTACTTATTTACTTGTATCGTTTTGGAACTAAAAAGTGGAGGGTATGTCATTATAGTTAAGGAAGCGATATATCCATAGATATATATTTACAAATGGTATTAACCTATAAATTTGTATGTGTGCATTTTCTCAACTAAAAAAACAAGCGGTATACACAAACAATTTACTAGTTATCTACCATATACACTCTGATATTTTGCAGAATTTCAATTTTTTAAACAATTTTCTAAAGGAAATATTTACAAAAAAATCTAATCTGACTAGTAAAAATTGTCTTTATATTTCTTTTGGAATGCTAATACTATGTCATATTTCTATATTAAGTACCATTTAATTATGAAGGTTGAGCCTTATTATACATTAGTTAATATATATTAATTGTTGAAATTTAATTTAGAGCACAATTTATATATAAATTATCTTAATATTTGATTGAATCCTAGGATTGAAGTTTGTCATATCTATTTTGAAAATTTAATTCCAATTTAGGATTATATTTAAAATAAATGTATGTATCCCAACAATTTTAACAACATGATATAGACAAAAATGTTAGTCGACATACAAACGACAAACACAAATTGTATCACATACATTACATACACACAATTTTTTAAAATAATAAAAAAGGTTGTAAGTTCTTCCCTCTACTAGATGTCAAATGTTACATCTACCTGATTTAAAATATGCCTCGTTACCTTAATATTTCTTGATGACACCCACCAATGATTATTTTGCATTGCACAATACTTAATTTGAAAAATTACATTGCCATGTAAATATAATTAAATAAAGTTTCTAACATTATAAAAAAATATGTGGGATGTTCTGCGTCAAACAGAACAAAGCTGTGCCAAAAAGTCTCGTTGACAGATGTGAACGAATAAAGGCTAGGAAGGCCCCTTTTGAAAAGTGAGTGGCTTCTACCAAAACTTCAAAATGGCGACCCAATATGGCGGCTAAAAGTCGGCAGAAAATCATGTATTTGAAAAGAATATTTGTAAAAAACTCATGTTAAGACAAATTTATCCAAATATAGCATTAAAATATATGTACTTGACGTGCTTTTAAAGTAACTATAGTTTTTATTCAAATTTCGAATTGGCGAATTTTCAATATGGCGCCTATAACGCTCAAAAGCCACTAAAATTCACAAAGAAATAGTATTAAAGATCGCACAGCAATTAAATTTACCCCAAAAAGCCTTATTAGAGGATTCGTGGATTCTGAGTAATATTCTAGTCAATTCATTGAATCTCAAAATGGTGGATCCAACATGGCGCCGTACGGATAAAAAATCGCAGATATTATTAAGAAATCTATACTAATGATGCCAGAATCATTCATTTTAACTTAACAGGACTCACTGGGTTCTTTACATCCATAGTCTTAATTTCCAGTGTCAAATTATCAAATCTCAAAATGGCGGATGCCCATAACAGGCATGAACTGCTAAAGTTTGCAGGAAGTACTTATGATTGAACGACTGAATTTATGTAAATAAGGCTTACTAAAGGGTTTTCGAGATTTCTTTTTGATTTTAGTCGAATTATCTGCAATAAATGAGTTAATGACCCAATAGCTATACAAATGTTATATCAACTCAAAAGTAAATTGTGTCATGTCTGTTTCAAATTAATTTTTCTATCGTAAAAGTTACTATTTACTAAGAAGCAGCAAGTAAGTTTTAAATATTTTGGAACAAAATTGAACAATGGAAAAAAATTGCTTGCATATAACACACAGGATATTCTCGTAAAAAGGTCTGTACGATTTTTTTTGTAAAATTTTCAAGTAGGAAAGATTTAAGATAATATTTTCTTTCATTGCACATTTTTCACAAATTTCTAAATTAATTCTTCTCATTTAAGCTTGAAAAACGGCACATTGGATATGCCATTTTTGTATTGATAAACATGACTCAACAATATCATACATCAGCCCAAAGATCCTTAAATTAGCCTTGTTTACAGGTAAAGGTAAACCTAACTCTCTTTTGGATTTCCTTTGAACTTCAGCAATTTATGCCTATTATGGGCGCCATATTGGATCCGCCATTTTGAGATTTGATAATTTGACTGGAAAATCAGACAATGGATCTAAAGAATCCCCAGTGATTCTTTTCAAGTTAAAATGAATTCTGGGATCGTTAGTATCGGTTTCTTAAAAATGTATACGATTTTTTACCCCAACGGGCGCCATGTTGATTTTGTGAATTTTAGTGTCTTTTGGGCGTTACAGGCGCCATATTGAATCCGCTAATTCGAAATTTCAGATTAAATTTACATTAAAATGAGTTTTTTACAAATATTCTTTTCTCAATATGTATATGATTTTTCTGCTGGAGACCATACTGGGTAGCAATTTTGAATTTTTGAAGGAGCCACTCGCTTTTCGAAAGGAGCATTCCTAAAGAATCTTTAAAGCCCTTATTCGTTCACATCTGCCAACGAGAATTTTGGGCACACATTTGTTCCGTTTGATGGGGAACGTCCCATATATATTTTACATTTCGACTGATTTCACACGAGTAATTTTATGGTTTTGAAAGCTACATTAAGTAATAACAATAGAAAATAAGTTGGCTCTGCCTATTTCAATAGCCAATTAAAATGTATTTTTTTTTTTATAAATGGTGCTAACTGCAGTAGGCACTGGTCATAAAACAATTTATATAATATTTCCAAATTATTTAATCAACCAATTGCATATATTTTTTTAATATGTAGAAGTAATCAATTTTTTAACTTTATGACAAAGTTTTACGTTTCACAAAACTTCGTATTTTTTCTGCAATAATGTACGATACAACTGTTGAGAAAAATTACCTATAATCTGACAATGGAATGTTTTGCTCCAAGCCCATTCACGAAAAGTTGTATTATTAATCTTCATTATCAATAATAATTAAATAATTGTCCACACAGCACTACCTGTCCCCATACTCTGATATTAGTACTACAATATCTCGATCTAAGTAAATCTAAGAATATATACTGAATATTATCAAATCTACTATTGTTATATAGTATCTCAAAAAGAGCAAAATAATTATATTGGATAAAATTATATTTTATATTCTATTTAAAAAATTAATAGCTCTCGATATCCTGCTTACAGCAAAAAGAAAAACAAGAATGGTAGACCTAGTTCTTACAGTATTAAGATTGATTACCTGAGGAATGTAGTCCTGCTTTGTTTGATCTATCACGGGTCCTAATAGGAAGACTAAAAGGAGCACTGCCGAAAGGATCTTCTGTAACTGACATTACAAGACTTTCTCGAGATTTAACACCTTGTATACCTAAAAATAATTTATATTTTTTACATTTTTGTAGATTTTTACACTGTTCAATAGGACTGGCCGTTATTTGTTATCAATGTTTATGCAGGGTGGTTGTAGGTATATTATCAAAAAATAATAATATATCCGACAAATGTTTTTTGAGATTTGAGATAATTGTTCAAATAAGGCATACACTTTTTGAAATCGAATATTTTCAAACAGTCAATGTCAAACTTTTACGGAATATTTTTTATGGTAAATGACTGTATTTAACAGAAATTTTAAAGATGTCTCCTTTGTAGTTCTGGTAAAAACAATAATATGAAAAAATATTCCAAACAAGTTATAAAAAAAATTTTACACATTTCAAAAGTATTTTTTAAGATACAGAATGTCTCGTTTATAACAGACGTACTTTATTTGTTTTTATTAAATAAGAGCACTCTGTACACCACTGCATTTTTTAATTTTTCATTGATACGAAGCATATCCACAAAGTAAAGAGTATTGACACTCTGATGCTCTGTGGTTTTTGATTTGGACAAGGTTGCCAACACTGCATTCAAGGCCAAGGTGTTGGAAGCAGAATCCGCTCTCATTTGTCTCAGTCAGTTGAGAACTGTTGTTGTAGTGGTGTGTTAAAATGAGTGCCGCTATTCTGAATCCCGCCAGTTGCGAGGTGGTGAGGTGCGTAATCTGGATTCTTTTTGCAAAGGGAAAAGCGTTGTTTGAGATTTCTAACAAAATCAAAACTATTTATGGGAATGGTGTGATGAATCGTACTAATGTCGTGAGTATAAAGGTGGCAAAACGAATGTTCATGATGAACAAAGGAATGGGTGTCTCTCAATCGTGATTGATGAGATGGTGAAGAAGATCGAAGAAATGCTTCGTGGCCACCTTTGATTGACTTTGGACGAGATGAATGCAGTGTTTCCAGAGATCTTCAGATCTCTTCTGCATGAAATCATTACTAAAACATTTGGTTATCGAGAATGTGTGCGAGATGGGTATCAAAACAGCTCACAAAGCCAACAGAATCACGCTTTAAACTGGAAAGTGAACAATTCCTCGACTGTAACTGGCAACAAAACGTGAGTGACATGATTGTCAATGCAGTGACAATATCCGTCTTCACCGTCACCAAAAAAGTTCAAAATTATTGTTTTGACTGTAAAGGGAGAAACAATGAATGCTGCATGGTACTGTGAAACCCTGAAAACTCTACGGAAAGCGATACACAACAAAAGGAGAATGTTAAGAAAGGGAGTATTCTTGTTGCATGAAAATGAACGTCCCCACAGCCAACGCCGCAAAGCAACTCTTGGATTCATTCGCTTGGTACATCATCAATCACCACGCTCACAGACCTGACTTGACACCTGATTTTCATCTTTTCTCTTCTCTAAAGGTGTTCATTGGTAAAAAAAGATTTTCTACTGACCGTGTTCACGATGCCGTGAAACAATGCGCCCGAGAGGTGACGGCACATTTTTTGACCAAGGTATCAGAAAGCACATCTTTGGCTCACAAAGTGCATTAAGGTTGGAGGCAACTATGTTGAAAAATAGTGTTTGATGTACCTTTCTGAAGGAAATGGAAATTTTTCATATACCGCCGTTTCGATTTTTTAAAAATTAGGTACTTTTACTTTGTGGATATGCCTTGTAGTTATTTTACAATTTCTGATAAATGCAGTTTTTAACTATATCACATTTTTAATCAACATGTTTTATTTTAGATAAAATATAAATAAAAACTAAATACTTTTTTTTAATTGCAAACTGAAGACAGATTTGCACAATTTAGTATTTTTTCAGTTCATTTTCATTTTTTTTTTCTTTTAATAAAAGAACTTTTTTTGTATGATAATGCTAAAATTGAAAAATTTTAAATAGATCAATTTTAAAACGGTTTTTACTGTCAAGGATATTTTGCAAAAGTTCAACAATATTTTTAGGAATATTTAACGCTGCTTATCTAAAAAACATAGCAAGGCTGTGTAAATCTGTTTGTACTTACTACTCTGACTGCCCCTTCTTATTTTATCAAATTCGGCGCCGAAGATGTGATCTTCAGTCATCTGACTAAATGGCGTCTCTTCGAACGGGTTCCAATCTGCTACATCGGCAGAGAGCGATCTACTATCTGGAGCCATAGGGTGACTTACATCAGTTGTCGATGCTGATGTACCGATTGGAGCTAGTGGTCTATTGACATCCTCTCCTGAACAAGTTGGTGAATCACTAGCTCGAGGTTTAATCGAGGATTCAAATGGTGCCAAAAACTGAGATGTTTCGGTAGCATATGCTCTGCAACAAAAATTTAAATACAGTTGTGACCTATTTGAAACCGGGAGACCCTCAAAATTTTTATTTATATAGAGATTTTGACTAACTTTTTTTTGATTTGTAGAGGGGAGAAAAGTGTATTTTAAGACCAAGTATCATCATTTTTATACAAAAACCAAGATCTACCAGATCATTTTTGGAGAGTAAAAATTGAAGAAACCATATTAGCGATTTTTTTTAGAAAAAATCTGAGTACCATAAAAAATACTGCATATTAATAATTCTGTGGCAAAATTAAAAATTACATTATTCATTATTGTTATGAGGACGAAATAGTCCTCTTATTGAATAGCCGCCAAGATCACCTGACTTGACGCCACTCGACTTTTTCCTTTGGGGCATCCTTAAGCAAAAAGTGTATAAGTCAAGACCACAGTCAGTAGAAGAACTATGCGCTAGAATAACTGAAGCATGTGCAAATATTACCACAGAACAACTGAGAATAGTAACCTAGAACATACATGATAAATGCCTTGAAATAAAAGGCGGATTGATGGAGGCAACAAAAATTTGATTAGCTCTTCTCTTCTCCAATAATTTTGTGGAATATTGATTTGAATAAAAATAGTTATTGTCAGTTATTGACGTTTGATTCCACAGCTTGCTTTGTCAGACGAAATAGAGTCATAACAATAATGAGTTTTTTAATTTTCCCACAGAATTATTAATATGCAATATGCCAATTTTTCAATTTTTACTCTCCAAAAATGATCTGGTAGGTGGTTTTTGTATAAGGGTGTCCCAGTTTCAAATGGGTCACACTGTATATATTAAAATTAAATATATTGGATGTTACAAAAAAGATGGGTTATGCCTTTAACCACAGATTCTTTGAGAGAAAGTAACAAGACTTTCCTCATGCCATTTTTTTATCATCTCTTTTTCAAAGGGACAAATTAAAAAATAAATTTTTATCAATAATTCCATTATTATTTAATACTGATTTTTTTTTCTAAAATATTGAACAATGAATCTGACATAATTTACACAAATGTATCCAAGGCGCTTGAATCAACAACCATGGAATAATGTTGTAGAAATTAGGTGCATGTGGCTCAACACTACCACTAATTAATTGGTCTATTTAACTTTTATCTATCGGGCAGAAAACAATATGTTGCGTTCAATGGCTTTAAATCACATGAATGTGTTACGTTCTCTGAAGTACCTCAAGGAAACAACTTAAGACCCCTACTGTTCAAAACATTTATAAGTGATATAGTGGACATTACTGATGTTGAACAATGTCTTTATGCATATGATCCAAAAATTTATAGTGAAATATAATCAATAAATTACTGCATTCATCTGTCTAATAAATTAATATGAATTACAGAATGGTGTTCTGCAAATTGTCTGAGTCAAAACCTGTCTAAATGTCTTACGGCCAGTTTCACAATCGTTGGTTATCTTTTTGGTAATGTAAGCTTGACTCAAGAGATAACTTGTGGTTAAACAATTCAACTGTTTCACAACAGCCATTANCTAAGATTAAGGTTAAGTTACGGCTAAGTTAGGACTAATACTTTTTTATAAACCAACCATTATTTGTGTATTATTTAGCATAATATACTGTCCTTTTAACTTTTTAGCAAGGAAGATATGTATGTGCAGAAAGAAGTGCAATAATAAGAATAATAATAATTCTCACCACCCTACTTGCTGTGGCTTTACTAACTCCAAAGAAATCTGCAGAGGTTCTTAGAAAATATCCATTGGCAAAAAAATTTAATATCAAAAGTAGCTGTATGCATTGAGATAGTTATTTCGATGTGAGAAAATAAAAAAATTAAGTATTGCAATTTTCAAAATATATAGAAATATACAGGGTGTCCCATAAGCACATGATCAAAAAGGTACTACGACATTCTTTGGCTCAAAAGAAGACGATCTGACTTAACTTCCATTAAGAAAAAATGTCTAGCTCCTCTGCTATTAACTGTCAAAGTTCTTGAAAAAAATATATGTTTTTTGTAATATCTGGAGAATGTTACTATGAATTTTAATGAAACTTGCTGTGGACTTATTCCTAAGTAAGACTTATGTTTTGATGAAGCAACCGCGTCCATTCGCCTTGGGCAAGTGGTAAATTCTTGAATGTCTTGGTACAAGACTTACCAGAACTTTTTTATTGGTCGCTGGAATCAATTCATTTTTTTTTATTGATGCATCAGTCCTTTTTCGAGATTTCCGTGGTCTTGGTAAAATCTTGTAGCATTCATAGTTTTTACGCAAAAAAATATTTTCTGTTTTGTTGTGACAACAATTTTAGACGTATCGCAGTAAATCTGCTCTTTCACAAGAAGCATTCTCTAATAATTATGCCAATTCTTTTACCTAGAAATCAATATTGAAAGTAAAATGGTCTCAATTTTAAATTCTGTCATCATGCGACAGATTGAATATCATTTTATTTCATTAGATTTATTATTTGTTAATGCGCAAAAAATGTAGACGTATTTAGGAAAAACATAATTCTCTTTATTGAAACTCATAAAACTGGTTTATCGCTAATAAAAAAAAACTTGAACTTCAATCGAAAAAAGTTAAATGAGAAAGTTGTAACTATTAAAAAGCCTATCGATTCATATTTTTAAATATGTCGATTGCTACATTACTTTTCGACATATATTGAAAAAACCGTCAAAAATCGACTTTATTTGTTTTTGCTGTATCTCTTGCAAAAGATTTTGAAACTTGTTACTTGCTGTAAATGTAGCCTTCGGCAAGCAAAAAAGTACCTTTTTTTAAAATTAAAAAATATGAATTTATCGAGTTATAACGATTTTTCGAAAAAAAGGTCATCTCGAAAATCGGCTCTTCTTGCTCGTCGAATAGTCCTAGAGAAACGAATCAGGGCTAATTTTTTTCCTTAAGAGTTGTACTTTCATGGTAAAAAAGAGTGATAACAATTTTATTCATTTCAAGTGTCCAAAGATGACTGAAAAAAGTAAAAAATTTTTTTGCTTGCGTTTGTCTTGAATATCTTTTTCGATTTTTATTTCTCGATAATGTCTATTACAGGAATCGATTGCTGGCATTTTTACACGAATTTAAAAAAAAAACGTTGCTCTACAACCTTCTGGAGCTGATAATTTTTTTTCTTTCAAAAAATTCCACAGGCCGCTATTTAAGTGCTACAGCGACCATTCTTACAGAGATTGAAGTTGAAGCCTTATATTTTCAATAAAAAATACTGTAGTTCATTTTGCCACTTCTGCATTTTTAATTGTGCGTCAAACCGAAGCATTCGAGTGCGGCGCGAGCTAACTGTAGTGCTACTTGGCCGCTCCGAAAACTACGTTCGCGTGTTATACTGAAACCTTGAAGCAACTGTATTGTGCAAGCTGATGTTTATCCTAAAATTAGTATAGCAAATGAATTTTTCCTTGAAAGCCTAACTTTGATACAGAGCCTTCATAAATGATTACAAGCCATGTGACCGGTAATTTTATTTCCTTTACGTTAGCAATTAAACTTCGTAAAATTAAAAATTATTAAAACAACTAAGATCAAAATTACATTAAAACAACTGTTTCACCGGCTGGTGTAATTTTTCATGAACTTTTATTCAACCAATCAGCGATCACATTATCTCGAACGTAGACGTAACGGTTTGTCATCGTTCACTGTAAATGAATCATTGATATTGATGACGCTAAGGCTTACGGATTTTTGTTTGACAGTATCAGCCGTGCAATGTCGGTTGCCTAAGCTCGGCAGTCGTGTGGCTTGTAATCATTTTCAAAGGCTCCGTACTTTAGATAGTCATAGACATCGTCATTTCGTGTTTTGTTACTGAACTTCTCCATGTGGGCCTAAAAATCATTCTCAAAGAATGCTATCAACAACAAAGGGCCACCTTAAGAAGACAATATCTTCATAATGGTTTAATTATTATTCTCCCGGAGAAGTGAAAAAATCTTTGAGATTACAATAATTAGCAAATGCCTCTGAGATCAATAAAATAATAGCTGTAATAAAAAAAACTTACTTATTAAAGGCAGTTGTATCACTCATATTACGACGGTGTCCTTTAGGAATGGAAAGTGTTGGTGTGGAAGGAGGAGTATTTGTTGTTCCAACAATGCTGCTAGACTCTGTCAATCCTGACTTCATCTGTGATGTAATCCCATGGTTAACGCTACCGGAGCCAAACAGAGGATTTTCCGGTGACAATGGGGAAACGACATTCACTGGAACGCCAGCTGGTGACTGGTTGGAAAAGTTATCTGTTTTATTGCCATTAGGGATGTCTGTCAAGGTTGTAGGTGACGAAGTATCATCTCGGAATGGATCAGGATAGATGGAAGACTGAAAGAGGGAATCTAAGTGAGGTTGGGGTACTTCCGCTCCGGAGGAGAAAAAAGCGGACTTGGGTTGGAAGTCGCGTGCTGGTGAGAAACTTTGAGGGTTGGCATTTATGGCCGATGGGAAAGGCGCAGCGTAGGAAATGTTACCTTGGAAATTTTGTTGCTGGGGTATTTGGGCAATGGGACTCTGCGATTTTTTGATTGATGTTGGACTTGGGCTGATCGTGAGAGGGATATTATTGAGATTTAATGGGGTCGATGAGCTTCCTTTAGGTCGTTGTCTCGGCATTACACTTGTTCCCTCCACAGCACTAATAATAGGAGCTTTATTTATTACTTTTATCTGAGTTTTCTTCAATTCAGATTCTAGGGGTGGAACCGACAGTTCTTCTATGTTTGGAATTGGAGTTTTCTGTATTGAACAAAAAAATTATAGAACTGAAATCAACTCTGAAAAAATACCAACCATTAAGTTTTTCACAGGATTGTCTTTTCCAAGCAACTGAAACGCTATGCAACTAACTTGATAGATATCAGGTCTCTGGTCTGGATCTGGTTCCAACATGTACTCTAACAAGAAATAAATTAATGTTTTCCTTTACAAATCAAAATGTAAGATTACACTTACTAATTAATTTATGAAGACCTGTAGAATAACGTGAATAATCTGGAATGCTAAAGTTCCCACTCTGAATTGCTAGAGTGCTCTCGCCAAATGGCAAGGTGAAGAAACACAATTTATACAACAAGCAACCAAGAGCCTAAAATAAAAAAATAATATAATTTCAATAACTACGTTTACTAGGAAAGGATTTCGCACACACCTTATGGAAATTGGTCTTTCGGCGAAATTTCATGAAAAATTGATACGTTGTCCCTTTTTTATTACTGATCAAAAGTCTTCAAGGCCAAGAAGTTCCAAATGCCTTTCTGGAGGTGGTAGGGCCCACAAGAGTCAAAAACAGTGAAAAATTTATTTACTGGGCATGAAGTCTTTTGATCAGTGATAAACAAGGGACAATATATAAATTTTTCAGGAAATTTCACTGAAAGACCAATTTCCATAAGGCGTGTGTGGGGTCCTTTAGGAAATAAACAGCACATATTTAAATTTTTGTATGATACATGTTCCAAATTCAATCTTGATCGGACACTTTAAATTTAAATCTGTGCTCTTCATTTCCTGAATTTCGAAAAACTTGTGAGATAAATCAAATTCAATGTAATGTTTAGTTTGTTCTAGAAAAATTCAAATGATTTTTGAGACACAGTTTAGAGAATTACCCAAATGTCAGCCTTTGTCGATATCACTTTACCACTATACATATCCACCATTTCAGGGGACCTATAGCTCAATGTTGTATAACGTTTGATTTCCTCTTCCACAGCAGCAGCACCTTTTTCAGTAGGATTTAACACCCTTGCTGTGGCTGACCCAAAATCACATATTACATAATTTCCATTTTCTCTTACCAAAATATTTTCTACCTAAAAATTTAAACAAAGTAAATAATAAAGATTTATTCAATTCACAACATTTAAAAAAAAACATCAAAGGTTCCATTCAAAACGTCCTGACAAAAAATATGTATTCTAAATCTTGATTTCTTTTGGAAATTATTGATAACTATGCAATTTTCTAATGGATTTGTGTCTAGATTTTTACATCTGCATATTAATTATACAAAATGGCTCATACAAAGAATACATTCTTATACAAAGTATGATATTCAATTAGAAAAAAAGTGTTATTTTTAACATATGATATTCAAATATGTTGTTGAACTGTTCAGAAAAATTCACAAAATTACTTAATACCGGGTGTATTTAAAAGGAGCACAAAAACTACCCGATAATCTTGAAGCTAAACTATGATAACCGAGTCAAGTATACCTTAGTCCAAGATACAGAGTGTTTAAAGTAATAAAAAACATCACAAAGATCTCGTAAGATAGACCAGTTCTTAACCCTTCAAAAATGGTAAAAAGTGAAAAAAATTATAGTAGGATGAAACCCATTGGAAAAGGAAGAGAATATAACAGAACTGAAAGGAAAAATAATTTACGGGCGATCTGAGGTCGGGAAGGGGTAGGGGGTGAGTTTTTAAGGGTAAAAAACGGTTTCCCTTGATTTCCAGAAAAACTACAAGTCTTATGGAAAAAAGTTAAATGCCAAAGTTGTAGGTAATAAAAAGATCTACAACTTTTGTATTTATACTTTTTTCACATAACCTCAAAATTTCTGTGAAAAATTCAAATAACCAAGTTTTTGTTTTTTTATTTTTCTTTTACAAAAAAAAAATTTTTTTCACAAAATTTGGTGAAACTTACCTATTGATGTCCCAAACACGCTGTAATTTTTTTGATTTGAAATATTTATTTTTTCACCTTATTTTTACTTAATATCGATAAGCACCCTAATTTTCAATCGAAAATTCTCACGTCAAAATATCTGCTTTTTTAAAAACGTCGGTGGGCTTTTTCTTCGTTGAAATCTCTACTTATTTCTGTTATATTCTCTTTCTTTTCCAATGGGTTTCATCCTACTATAATTTTTTTTGGTTTCAAAAATTATTGACCCTGGTCTAAGAGGGTTGTATAGATTAATTAAACTTGGCTGACAATTTAACTAAAAAAATGTAAAAATTCACAATTGTATTTAAAAAAGAATCTCGTCGATTTTATTAGTAAAATGGGTACCTTATTTTTGAGTTCTTTTTTTAGCCTAAAAAAAAATATATATAAATTATTTATCACAAATATTATTTAAAATAGATCATTGAAAGTTTGAAAACAAATTGCTATCTTTCAGAATATGTATTAAAAATTTCTATGGCAATATATTTTTTTTATTCTTAATGATTGCATTGTAAAATTATATTTGCCAAATAAATCTATAAACATTTTTACTTAGTATTGTATTGTATGTTCTATTTATTCAATAATTGTGTAGTAAGCTTATTTTAGACAAAAAAATAATATTTTTTCTCTTTGAAATGCAATTGCAAATCAAATAAGTTTATCTCTCTTCCAAATATATCAAATTAGAATTTTAACAGGTTAAAAAGGTTTACAGGGTGTAACTTTGAGTGGGGGTCTATTATACAGAGGCTTCCTTTGACCTTTATAAACAAGTATCAATAGTTTATTTTTTCAAATTTCCTTGTAAAAGCTTAATTTTTTTATAACCGTTTTTTAGGAATTTTCGTACCTCGCCGCTGGAAAACAAATCTCAAAAAACGGCAAGCTTTAGTCGCAGCGAATGCACAATTCCACACCATTCACCCCGAGTTACTTTTGTTGAGTGGGTGTTCCGCATACAAACAGTACTTAACAAGTAACCTAGCAAAAAAACTCAAGCAGTAATCAAAAATGATAAATGAAATACACAAAAATAAATAGTCTGTTGATGGCTTCTAGCGATGAAAAACATTCAAATTCACAGTTAGATGTACTGTCTCCAAATGCGGAACATGACACCCTTTCCTTTGTCACCTTTTACCGGCAGTATCTCCCTACACATGCATTGTAGGTTGCTTACAATTCATGTATTTGTAATACATGATTACAGTGGCGGCGTACACAAGTATTAAAGTGCATTTTAAAAAACTAATCATATCTCGACTATTTATTTGATTAAAAAAAAAATAATTTCAAGATTTCAGGAGAACATGTACTATTACCCCTAAAAAACTAACCCACACAACTTACAGTTACACCCTGTATATATGCACCCCTTTTCGAGATCGCAGTCGGCCACCCTATTTTAATTTTGCAAATTTCATTCAAATTTTTTCGTACTCAAAGACAACTTTGTGTGCCATTTAACACTCCCACAGCTAATATCTCTGAATTGAAGAAATTTATTTTAGTTCCAGAAACTGGGGTTGTTAGATCCCTCGAATAGCTTCAAATTGCAGTTAGAACTGTTAGTTCAAATCTTTCTGTATAGATGGCGTGGCGATACTAAACATTTTTTTGATCCTTGGAACATGGAAATGCGGTCCATCTGAAAGATAGTTAAATTTTGAGTAATTTTTGTAATATAAAGCTATATCCTATATTTACTTGTTTTCGAGATATGTCGACTTCAATATGCAATGTATGATGTAACAGGAAAATCTATTATTTTATTTAAATCACACTGAGAGAAAATATTCTTTTAAAATATTTTTATAATGGCTTTATTCACACCACATACTAACTAACAAACAATAAATTATAAAGAAAGGATGATCAACTACAGAAAAAAAAATTGTACAGTGGCAAATCTTATAAGAGGCAGAGACGAATCGTATTTTATCAAATGTTATTAAAAAATGCAGTCATAGGCGGCTCATGTCAATAAAACATGTATGGCAGATGACACATATTATTTTTCCAATAATTACAGTTTTATCAGTTTGCGTCTTTCAATATAACTATATTAGTTATAATATTTACCATTGTACAATTTTTTTTCTGTAGTTGAGCATTTGTTTTTTTTATAATTTATTGTTTGTTAGTAAGTATGTGGTCTGAATAACAATATTATAAAAGAATATTTTGTCTGGGTGTGATTTAGATAAAATAATAGATTCTGTTACATCATACATTGCATATTGAAGTCGACATGTCTCGAAAACCAGTAAATATTGGGAAAAACTTTATATTACAAAAATTACTCAAAATTTAACGATCTTTCAAAAGGACTGCATTTCCATGTTTCAGTGATCAAAAAATTTTTTAGTAATGCCACGTCATCTATGCAGAAAGATTTGAACTAACAGTTCTAAGTATAATTTGAAGCTATTCGAGGGACCTAACAACCCCAGTTTCCGGAACCAAAATAAATTTCTTCATTTCGGAGATATTGGCATCGAGAGTGTTAAATGGCACACCCTGTATATTAGAATATTGTAAAATAACTATTCTGCAATCATTCAGCACATACTGAATTATTGCATCAGTTCATAGCAATCCAAACAATATTATTGATTCAGACAGTTAATAATGTAAATAAATTGATGGAAGCTTTATTTCAGGCACTGTATAACATTAACAGAAGTTATATAAGAGCAAACAACAATAAAATGTGACAAGTGAAGAATTAATAGAGTTCTTATCAGATATGTAAGATTAACAAATATGTCAATATTGGCTAAACAATTAACAAATAGACAGAACAAGTAAACAGTAAAATGTATTTTAATATATTTTTATTTTATTTGTAAGTTACTTATTTGTGGCACTTTCTATTACCGATTTTATTTAATTGAGTAATTCTGCCATACTGAAAACAAAATTATTTAAAATACATAACCCCTTGCGCCGTCAGTCGTCACGGGGTTGATTTAATAAATTTAATTATACGAGGAATATCTCGCAGTGACAAAGTAGATACTTTTTCTCAGCTAAAAAAACCAGACAGTTTTAAAAATCAATTGTGTCAGGTATTATAGTGATTACAATGTAGTCGAGATTTACCTTCTCAATTTAAGATATACCTAGTTGAGCATAATTCATAAAATCAATCCCTTGACTGATCCTTATGGCACAAACATTTTTCTTTTGAATATAAGCAGAAATACCTAATTAAATAGACAGTAACTTTTTTATACGTACATATGTAATACACTATTTATTTAAGAAGGATCAGGTGCTTCATCGGGGGTGAAGCGAGACGCAGGGGCCCTATGACTAGAAAGTTAAGTAGATTGAGATACTTGCTTGTAGATGTTGAATAAAATCGAGTTTAAAATACTTAAAATTATATATTTCCATATTTCAATTATTATTTTTTATCCAATATATATATAAATAAATACCACAAGTTCCAACAGAAACTTGGCAACAGCGCACAAGTATGCTGACTTTATTATTTGTAACACCGTTCGAAGACATCATGTAATCGACATAGAGTACATGGCACAAAGCATGCACTGCTCTTTTTACAAAGAACTTTTACATATTTTAGATTATCTACAAACTGTGATCATGAAGTGATTCGTGTGGAAAAGTTTAAATATGAATTAGTTATATGCATAAGTAGCATACTACCTACTATTATGCACTTCTGTGAATACAAAATAAGTGTCCCTTATAAGACAAGGGTTTAAAGCGATTGCATTTATGAAAGTACAATACAATTTGATATACAAGTTATTGGTTTGTTCTCTACAGGGAAGTTACGGCTAGTTGACCAACCCCTAGCAGTTCTAATCCAATGAATTTCAGCAACACTTAACCGTAGATAACTTGAATTCTTACACATTTTTGTGAAGAAAACACTTTTATTGCCTAATTACAACTAACAGTATGAAGGTTGAATCTCTAGTCGTCCTCCTGAGCGGCTGATTGGGTTTTTATATGATTTATTATCAGCTAGCAACTCAGCAGACGATTTTCTATTGTCAGCATAATAACAAATAGACATTTGTAAGTTAATAATTGTTATAAAATAATATACATAGTACAAAAATATATATACAGGGTGTTTATAACATACATATGTAGTATTATACTGTGATACTATGTAATTGCTGCCAAAAATATTTTTCAAAATATACTTAAATTATTGAAATGTTAATTTTAAAAATGAATATTATATTAAAAATGTAATAATTTATTAAAATGCATAAGATTGTTATATGAGCTGTGATGCAAAGTATAAATATTTTATTGTTTATATGCTGCTGTATTTTTTACTTCTTATATTGAAAGTTTTTCGTACTTTATAAATAAAAAAATATTTAAAAAATCATAAGTACTTCATTTGAAAATTTCCAATTTTATTTTATTATTCCAAATTGAATTACACAAATAAACACAAGTTGAATGTAATCCATTTCTAATGACTAATTTGTGTATCGAAACGTTTATTTAAATTTCCCGCCACCTATCCTCATTCATACTCTATTCCGCTATTGCCATTACTCCTTCGCGTTTATAACTTGGGGGACGACAAGTCAGAACTTTTATGTTTGATAATTTATTTCTCTGTGGAGTAACCTACTTTTTTCTTTCTCTCATCTATTAATTAATGATTCAGGTAAATGTCTATATTTTTTTCTTCTTACCATTGACATTTTTTCACCCGTAATTCGAATGTAAGGGTATGCATCATAGTATTTGCTATAAGAACCTATGTTAAATATTTAAATTTTTAGAATTAATTAAAAACAAAAACAAATCGATAAATAATTTGATCCTCCTTAAATAAATAGCTACTTCAGAGGAGAAAACCGCTAGCCAAACTTTGCTACCTAAGTATTATTCAAATAGTACTTAGTATTATTTAAATACTACTCAAGCACCAAATATTATTACAGTAAATGATAAATTTGATAATATAACTAAAGTAGCATGATATTGAAAATTGTAAAAATTTAGGAAAATGTAAAAAATAAATTAAGAATATATTATTTACAGCAATTTTTAAATAATAAGTAAATTCGACTAATAAAAAGCTTAAATAAGTGAAATATTACTATATACCTGGATTGGTTGCTTTAAAACAACTTAAAAAATTCACAAAATTCTCTTCTAAGAATACATCTTATATGCTGAAACTTAAAAATTGTTACGATTATGATGTACAACTTTAATCTTTCTTCTATAAAAAGGTCTATTAAAATTAATCTATGTTGTACAATTGTAATTATGAAATAATAAAGTAAAAAGTTTATTACCCCAAATTTACTATGCTATTATTATGTTAATAAAGTATGATATCTATCTACTACTATATGCGTATCTGCATCAATGGTAAAGCTTACAAAATAACCATAATTAAGATTTTAAACAATTTAGCAAAACTAAGTTTTTGGGTTCACTACATTAAACAGTTTTAACCAAAGTTTTAACTGTATAGTCAAAACCACACAGACTATGTGGCAAGTTGTGCATTCATATTACATGATCCACACCTACATAGTTTATCTATTGGGCAAATACTTATAAACTTAAAATAATAATTCTCGTACATTTGATAGATTCTGGCTCTTACAAGCTGGAATGTATGGTTGTATGTATCTGTAATCTATATGACTTTGCAAGCTATCAATACAAATAAATATGTATAATGGATTGTTAATAATGTCATATAAAGCCTTATATGACATTGTCAAATACCATGGATTTTTGAGAACCTGCAATTAAGGAACTTAACTGTTGCGTATAAATAAAAAGTGCCTGAAATAAAATTTCATACACTATTCAGTCAATAAACTACTGTAGTACTATACTGTATAAGTCAGAAAAACATTTGACCACAAGATCTTAAAAGAAGTCTGACATTCAACACCAACAACAAAATCTTACCTTTAAATCACGATGAATAATTGGAGTCTTACAATGGTGTAATCGGGAAACTGCTTCACATATATCACAGAATATACTTAAAACTTCTACTTCAGTAAAATTTGCTTTACCACGTGCTTTCATCAATCCAAAAACATTTTCTGGACAATAAGGCATTAATAATAGAACTTCATAAACTCCACCCCCTGTTGCTGTCAAACTAGAGTCCACATAGCCAATTATATTTTTATGACCACTTAAACTGCTCTAAAACAATAATAAGGAAATATGAAACACATATCTATTCATATTAAAGAAAATAACTTACAGCTATTTGAATTTCACGTTTGGCAACATTAAGGTCCTGATCATTGTTGACATACATTCGCTTAAGAGCATATCGACAGCCATTATTGGCTTTTACTAAATATACAATTGCAAAACCACCTGAGAAGTAATAAATATAGTTTATAAATCATGAAATATTAAAAAAAAAAACAATAAAACAGTATATCAACTTGAAAAACACATTAAATTTAAGTATACCTTCTGCTAAAATATCTTCAACTGTAACTGTTTGTCGGCCAACAGTAAATGCTTTTCCTATGTAACTATTGCCTTCCCTAGATGTGTTGTCGATTTTTGTTTCAATTTTAGAAAACAACTTTTTCATTGTGGTTGCCTGATTACAGAAAAAATATGACACATTGAGTAATAAGCCACTTTAGTTTGTAACACTCTATTACAAAGAAATTAACATTCTAATTTAAAAGGAACTATCTTTTTAAAATAGTAAAAGAACTTTTCAATTAAATAATATTTGTCCACACATTATTAATGACGTTTAATACGGTCAGAATACAGTTTAATAGATGGAGAAAAGACAGCAATTTGTCAACTGAAATGTCAGATTGACAGATGTCAAAATAAATCTGACAGAAGTTAAATAAAATCGTGGGAATGGAAAAGTTATAAATAATAAATAATCTGCTGTAGTGAATATAATAATATAATATATTTATTGAGTATTACTTGACATAGTAAGTAAAATTTTAATTAAACATACAGGTAATAATTGATAACTATATTTGTCTGTTAAAAGGAGTAAAGGGACATCTCTTGACATAAAATAAAAGCTGCGTGTCGAATCCGGTCCACCCACAGACCACCTGTATTTTATGTTTTGTGGTTCACCTGTCTGTGTCTGTCTATTGTCTCTGTGTGTCTGTATTTAAAGATTTTTTGACAGGTCAATAGTTTTTTTTAATTGGAATTTGGAAGAAGTATGCCCTTTCAATATAATCAAAGTTTAGGTAGTATTTCCCAACATATCGGTGTTTTATATTAAATTATCAATTTGCAGGTAGTGGTATAGTTCCTAGTACATCACCTGCTTTCCTCGGTCTTGGGAGCAGAGATCCAAGTGACTTTACATTATTTAGTGGAGCCATGAACGATTCTCCTTTAGAATTCAACAAAAATCGGACGACACCTAGAACAACAGAAGATAAAGATGAGGCTAGTCAAAGTCCTTCAGATAAGCGAACAAGAGGGAATAACAGAAATGTGAGGGATCGAAGAGATACGGAGAAATCTCATGATTCAGATTCAAATCTGTCTGGGACACAAGATGTCATTCCGATTCAAAACGGCCCTGGCATAGGCACTTCTAATATGTGGGCACAACCAATATGTGGTTCGTAATTTTTTTATTTCATTAATGTTGTTAAATGCTAAAAGCTTTATTTTACTGGCTTTACATTGACACAATCATTTTTGCAAGTGGGAAATATTGTAAGGAAATATAAGAATGGTAGAGTGCATATCAATATAATGGATTTTAGGTATGGGTTATCCAATGGTAGGAATGAATATGATAATGGATCCTAACATGATGTCGATGAACAATTATGGAATGATGCCACCGATGATTGCTCCAGATCCTAATATGATGACCCCAGATCCTGCTATGATGATGAATCCCGTGAAAGAAATAATCCATTGTAAATCTTGCACGCTTTTTCCTCCTAATCCGAATGCACCATTACCGACAACCCGTGAAAGACCACCTGGTTGTCGCACAGTTTTTGTTGGTGGCCTGCCAGAAAATATGACCGAAGATATAATTACTGAAATCTTTGAGAGGTGTGGAGAAATTACCACTTTGAGACTGAGTAAAAAGAATTTTTGCCACATTAGATTTGTGTACGAAGCGTCTGTCGATGCAGCAATATTTTTATCCGGTTACCGAGTTAGAATTGGTTCTAATACTGATACTGCAAATATAGGTCGACTTCATGTTGATTACGCACAGGTGAGGATATCCGTATCTTTGAAATATAATGAAAACAAAGTAATATTGCTTTTTCTTTAGGCTAGAGATGATCAGTATGAGTGGGAATGCAGACAACGACAATTGCAAAGGGAACAACGCCATCGCGAGAGAATGGAAGAAGAAAGACTAAGACCCCCGTCTCCACCACCAGTTGTACATTATACAGATCATGAGGCAGCCGCTGTATCTGAGAAAATCAAACAAGACGATTCTTTCACTAAGGCTGTTCAGGTACAACACTTTACTCTTTCTTTTGTTTTTCTATTTTGTAATTGTTATTGTTTTAAAACATGTTATTTTAAAAATATTTTTGTATACAGGGTGTCACCTAACAAACCTTACGTACTTCAAAGGTATAATCTAGAACCCAAATGGTGTCGATTTAACCAAACTTGCTTAAACAAAAAAAAAGTGATTATGTTCTTATTAGGTTAAACCATTCTTCTGTAACTTTTTAGTATGTTTAAATTTTTACACACAACCATTAGAAATAGGTAGAGAATTTTATTCCACACAAAAAATATATACCTATCAAAAGTCGAAATTATGCTCGGTTATGAAGATATTACAGAAAGTATTTATTAACACATACCCCATATTTTTTGGAAATAACTACGTATCCATAATAAACTAAATAAGATAATAACATTATAAACTGAAAGGTGGCAGTAATAGAAAGTACTAATTTATAATAAATGTTCTACATGTCCCCCATTCTCTTAAAATTGTAATTATTCTTTTGAGGCTGTCGTAAACGTCATATTTTGGTTTATCTCGTCGAGCTACTCCAAATTAAATACAAAAGAGTTTTTGTATGTCGTCCAGAAGTCGAGATAATGAAGATTTTGAAAGTAAGAGCGCTTTTGAACGCGCGAATTCAGTTTTCGGAGCAGCCGAGTAGCATTATCCTCACTTCGCCGCCCGCTACATTTAGCTCGCGCCATCCTCGAATGTCTCAGTTTGACGCACAATTAAAAATGCAGAATCGGCTAAAATGAACTACAGTATTTTTTTTATTGAAAATATGTTTTCAACTTCAATCTCTGTAAGAATGGACGCAGTAGCACTTAAATAGCGGCCTGTGTAATTTTTTGAAAAAAAAATTATCTCGGCTTCAGAAGGTTGTAGAGCAACGTTTTTTTTTTAAATTCGCGTAAAAATGCCAGCAATCGATTCCTGTAATAGACATTATCGAAAAATGAATATCGAAAACGATATTCAAGAAAAACGCGAGCAAAAATGTTTACTTTTTTCAAAGTAATTTTTGGACACTTGAAATGAATAAAATCATTATCACTCTTTTTTACCATGAAAGTACAACTCTTAACGAAAAAAATGAGCGCTGATTCGTTTCTATACGACTATATTTTTTAATTTAAAAAAAACATACTTTTTTGCTTGCGAGGGCTACATTTTCAGCAATTAACAAGTTTCAAAACCTTATTTTACAAGAAATACAGCAAAAACAAAAAAAGTCGAGTTTTGACGGTTTTTTCGATATATCTCGAAAAGTAATACAGCAATCGATATATTTAAAAATACGAATCGATAGGTTTTTTTTAATAGCTACAACTTTCTCATTTAACTTTTTCGATTGGAGTTCGTTTTTTTTTTATTAGCGAAAAACCGTTTTTTTGACTTTTATGAATTTTTTAGGTTAACTTCGCCGTTTATGCGCCACAGGAAAAATACACTATCTTAGAATTTTTTTTCCTATATCACCATATTGTTAATTTCCAGGTGAAATTTTTTGTAAATTTAACATAAAGCCGTGACAGATTGATTGGACTAATATTATATCTTTGAAGTATGCGACATTCGTTAGGTGATACCCTGTATACACACACTATTAAGTTTTAATACCGATTTTATTGTGGCGAAGTACGTGGCGCTATATATGTGTAGTCAATGGAACTACATAGTGGGAGTTTTCTGGGGTGATTGAACTAAATTTCATCAGTATATCTGTATCTACCACTAATTTATAACGTTTTGCGTGATGCGAGTTTTTGATAGTTGTCATGGAACCACATATTGAACAGCGTACAGCAATCAAGTTCTGTTTTAAAGACAGTAAAACAGCCATGGAAACATATCAACTGTTACAAAATTTGCATCATATTACAAAGAAGTAATAATTTTTGTGTAGATGTCAGTTTTAGTAATTAGAATAATTTTTAAATCTTAATTATTTGCAGTATAGTCCAGTATATGCGTAGTGTGAGAAGGGTTCACCTTGCAAGAAATAGGGTAAAAGGTTTTTTTTTATCTTGTTCGGTAAGCTGTGGGTAGTGTAAAACCAAGTTTGCGACCTCGTTCGACCTGGGGAAAACTTTTTGTGGGCAAGTCTTACCCTCAGCATAGACATTTTTTCCACTTATTCGGAAAATTTATCTTCTAAGTGACAAGCTGCGCATTATACGTTTTAAACAACGTATTTATAAACATTTGACATACCTTTAGAAATAAATAGGAAGTGTCATAGATTCGTAAGGGGGGAAAGGGGGTAGAAAGGCAGGTGTTACCTTGTTTTTCGTAAGACGGAAAGGGGGAGAGAAAGGGAGATTGAGTGAAGGAGTGATATAGAGAATGGCAGGTGTTTGGGGAACCCATCCTTGTTCGACGAGGCTTTGTTACATTGTTTCCCCTCCCTCCTGCGACTCGTCGACTCCGATCACATACGACTGGTAGTCTGAGGACCAATCAGAATCGGTCTAGGTACTACCGCTTCACCTGATACTATCCCCCCTTCCCCCTTCAGTTCATCAGTGCTCTCCTGCTCGCAAAGCATTCCGGTTCGGTATATTTTGCTTTTGGTTGTACTTACGTTGTTCATAGTTACTGACATAGTTGTACATAGTTTTAGTCAGGTACATAGTTTTGTTACTTGAATAGTTTTAAAATTAGCCAAAAGGTTTGTTTCATTTGTGAACGCGTTGTAAGTGAACGTTATGTGACAGTTAAAGAAAAAGGTGTAAAAACATTGTTGGAATGTAGCAAAAAACGGAAAGAACTGGACCACCAGCGATTGTTGAAGAATGTACATGAAGTGACCGTTCATGATGCTTGCCGGAAAAAGTACACCGAAAAATTAATAGCAGCTTATGTTCTCCGGGGATATAAAGATGCTCCACAACCAACGGTGTCACTGTCAGCAGCTGTTCGTTCTAAAACACAGCCTTTCAATTTCCAAGAACATTGTTTTTTGTGTGGGGAGGGGATCACCCCATCATTTTTAGAACGACAAGAACGGAATCCTGATGATGACCGTTTTAAGACTCATAAAGTAATGAAACTTTCGGTCAAACATACCATGAAAGAAGCAGCAGCCGCTCGTGGAGATGAATGGGCCCAAAAAATTGCGGAACGTCTGAGTAATGAGCACTTGGATTTGGTCGGTGCAGATGCATGGTACCACAACTCATGTAACAAAAAACTGTACAAAAAGAGTAGTGGAGAGAACAAAGGGCGCAAACCTGCCACTTATGTAGATAGGGCAATGGAAACCATCTGCGCATACCTAGAAGAACACTCAGACGAATGCCAATTTTCAGTGGATGAGTTATTAAACTTAGTTGATGACGAATGTCGCCCAGATGTAAGAAGAATAAAATCTCGTCTGTTCAAGAAATACGGGAGTGAAGTGCTGTATGTTGAGCGTGGGAATCGATTCCCAGTGATTTGTTTTCTAAATGTTGGTCATAAAATCCTCGCTGACTCCTTCTGCGAAAACAAGAAAAAAAACGAAGCAGAAGAACGCATCAGAGTTGTAACAGCTGCAGCAGAAATCGTTCTACAAGATATCTGCTCAATTGTGCATGATACGCAACCAGTGATGTAAAATGACCGTCATTTAAACTCGTGACGGTCATAGCCGTCATGACCAGGTCATGACGGTCATTACACGTCATAAATAGTTTCAGTTAGGAAAAATAATAGTACTTAAATGTAAATGGTTGTTATCCCCTCGCTATGCAAAATAAAAGTCAATTTTTCTAAAATATAAATTAATAATAATAATAATGTCTTTATTAGCAGGATACATATTTATAACAAAGATTTAGGCAACCTGGTGGCGCCATTCGATTTTACTCGCTCTTCCACGTACTGAATCTCAATATTGCCTTAATAAATTCGACAACAAAACTATATTAATATCAAAAAAGTTTTTAACTACAAAACAAACAACACAAAAAACACATGTTCTTTGGCTATAGATGACAAGTATAAAGTAATAAAACAAAAAATTATTACCATTGGTTAAGTTTTAAGGACACCACGTCACCAGGTGGAACATAAACCTACTTCTTACCGCATTGACAATGAATAATTAATACAAATTAATTTAATATTAACATTAATAAAGTCATCAAAAGTACCTATAGAGTGATTTTATTTTACTGTAATAAATAATAATAATAATAATAATAAACAAAAACTGTCATGACGCGATTATTTTCTATGTGACGCGACGGTCATGACAGGTCACGATATCGGTCATGCGCTGGTCACATGACCCACTTACATCACTGTACGCAACATTATCCACCAGCCGATGACAACTGCATCTCTAGCAGTGATTCCGCAATTCCTGTCACTTTGCTAGCCTTTCTTCAAACTGTGGTCATGAAACATAAGAGAGGTGACCTGGAAAAGTGAAGGAAGAAAATAGTGGCGTTGTCACATGCAATCATTTCAGCAGCAAGGCCCTCTTCTTTTCTTTCCCCGATCTTGATTAGAATAAGTATTTATCTGTACAAGAAATTTGGATCGAGACTCTTGATTGATTTGCTATCGTCCTTGGGATTCTCTGCGTCATATTGGAAAGCAATTCGTTTCGAAACATCATGTGTACTAAGGTCAAACAAACCAGAAGTGTTAGGTACAGCGTTCTGCCAATTCGTTTTTGATAATGCTGATTCAAATATCAACACTGCTGGTGGATTGGATACATTTCATTCAATGAGAGGGATAATGTGTGTCACTCCGCACTCTGCAATGCTTCCTGAAGAATGTGTACAAAGAAAACGCCTTTCTTCATCAGCAGAGGTTGTTCGAAGATGTGGAATTGTACAGCTACAAACGTGTACAATGAAGGAAGGTTTGAAAAATATAACTGTACATGACATGCTAGCAACATACTACCTTCTGTTACTGTTATTGTGTGGCTGTATGGGAAGTGGGTGGATTTTCCTGGAAATCCTGGTTGAAATGGTTTTATGGAAAAGGCCACAAACAAAAAGGAGTATGCCCGTTCTAAAATTTTGTATCTCCCGTTCATCAACGCTCCACCTTCACACAGCGACACAGTTTATACTTCTCTTCAGGTCGCAGTACAAAAATGTAAAGAACTTGGACAGGAAAGTTGCATAGTGACCTTTGACCAGCCGTTATATATTAAGGCAGTGGATATTGTTCATAGTGGAGATCCTTCTGTACGAAATGTGATTGTGAGACTCGTAGGGTTTCATCTCCTTATGTCCTTTATGGGATGCATAGGAAGTATTATGGCAGGAAGTGGATTAAGAGATGCAGTGTCTGTTATATATGCACCAAACAGTGTAGACAAAATCATGTCTGGTCATGCTTATGGGCGTGCTGTCAGAGCACATATACTCACTCATTCTGTTCTGGCTTCCCTGGCTTGGGACACTGTGACCCTGACTGATAAAGACAGGAGTTTAATTGAAAGTATGCTCGCAGAAGACTCATCACTTATCCTTGAAACCAAAGAAGAGGTTCAGGAGATTGTATGCAAATTTAGCAACAGCTTGGAAACCCTTGAAAAAAGAGGACCAACCTCTACACTGTGGGTCCAGTACTTCAAAATGGTGACCCTTGTGAAGCAGTTCATTGAAGCTGAGAGGATGGCTGACTGGAACCTTCACTTGGTCACTATTCAAAAAATGTTACCATTCTTCCATGCAGCTGGGCATGTTTTGTATGCAAAAACTGCTCACCTTTATGTCCAAGAAATGGTAACACTGGAAGAGAAGATGAATCCTGCTGAATTTGACCGGTTTACCAGAGAAGGTTATTTTACAATAAGACGAAGTGATAAGTTCTGGAGCGGTATTTGGTCCGACATGACCATAGAACAGACAATGATGAGGTCTATGAAAACCAGTGGAGGCCTTACTCGTGGAAGAGGCTTCACTGACAGTGCTCTTGCAAAGTGGACACAAGGAAAGGTCCATCTGTAATACGTTTGTGACGCGATGGAAACTTACTGTCAAGTGATTGCAGTTTCATCTGAGCAGCACATAGACGCAAGGCCCTCCCGAGTGAATCGAGATATGGATGATTCACTTAAACTAAAGAAGTGGTTTGTTCAGCACCCTCTGTTTCCAAAAAGTGACACTATAATGTCAATAAGCAGTGGAGTAACAGGTGGAGAACAGGTTAATTGTCAATCCTCTCAAGATATAGGCAAGGCTTGTATGGAAAAAATGATTGGTCAAAACTTCAAAAACCTACATTTGAAACGAAAGGATAAGGTGATCACTCTTGCAGATGTCACAAGCACCATAAAAGTTGGCTCCGTGCAGGTGACTGCTGTTGACCCAATGACACTGTTCCAGTGAATCTCTATAGCCAAACGGTCCGACGAAGATTTAAAGGAGTACTTCACATACGAGCTTGCTCCCTACCCCTTATCTCTGTTCAGTGAGGAGGGGTTGCGAAAAGGTACCAAATCATTATTCTACAGAGCTTTCAAGCCTGAGGATATCCAGTTATCGCACCTGAAAAATAAGTTGGTAGTCGTGGATGGGGGGTTACTCCTTCATAAAGTAGTATGGCAAAACAACGAATCCTTTGGTTTTATTTGCAAAAAGTATGTCACCTATGTCAAGAGGCATTATGGGTCAGAAGTAATAATTTTGTTTGATGGATACCCAAGTGATGTGTTTCATCGAGGTACTAAAAGCTCAGAAAGGGTTCGCCGTTCCCAGGTGAACATTTCAGCTGATATAATTTTTGACGAGGCAACACTGTCGTTTCCCAAGAGAAGTTCTTGGGAAACGAAAGAAATAAAAGCTATCTAATTCATATGTTGAAAAAAATTTTGGAAGAACACTCAATCAAAGTGTTGCAAGCAGTAGAAGATGCTGACTTTCTTATCGTCAATACAGCTTTGTCAAAAGTTGCCTTATTCGATAATGTGGTTGTGTGTGAGGATGTTGATGTACTTGTTGTGCTGACAGGGCTATCCAATTCATGCAAAAATATATACTTCCTCAAGCCAGGGAAGAGTGGCAAAGGTGACTCCTATTTCTCAACGTCATCATATCAGTATGACCCTCACTACATTATGTTTCCACATGCATTCAGTGGTTGTGATACAACCTCATCCCCATTCTGCCATGGAAAGACCAAACTGTGTACCCTTATTGAGAAACAATTCCAAACAAAATGAAAAACGATCCAGCACCAAAGACTTTGCTGCAACTAATATACTGCAGCTGTAAGAAAGGATGCAATAGTGCATGCACCTGCAGAAAATCTGGTTTGAATTGCACTACAGTTTGCAAAAACTGTTCAGGAATTTCGTGCACTAACACTCTGCCAATTGAGATTGATGAGGGAGACAGTGATGAGGATTGGGTTGAAGCAGATGAGGAACTTGATGTTGAAGCTTGTGAACAAGATTACGTTGCATCAGTTTGTCCGGTACCGGAAACTTACGATCAACCTGAGCCTTCTAAATGTCAAAGACTTATGTAATTCCCCCATCATTTGCCATGTTTTATATATCCATTGTAATGTTTACCCCTTTCGAATAATAAACATTTTAATTCAAACTTTTACTATGTCATTTCCTGTTATACCTAGATGTACCTACATAGAAGGTACAATATGTATATAAATTATATACAAATATATACTTACCTAACAAAATGGTATAAAATTTCAATTTTCCAACGTCGATTTCGACCATGTTACTGGATCAAAATCAAACTTTGAGGTACTCATTCGACGCAGAATTTTATACTCTGTAATGATTGTAATAGCGAGGTTTTCGCTAGAAACCATAGTTTGAAAGTTATAAGCGAAAAACTGAAAAAAGTCCGGAAATTTCCTGGTTTTTTGCTCACTAAAAATTCTCACCAGGTCGTTCGAGGTCGCAAACTTGCATTACATTACCCACAGCATATCGAACAATATAAAAAAATAAAACCTTTTAACATATTTTTTGCAAGGTGAGATCTACCTATATACTGGACTAGTAGAACCTGTAAAGGAAATTAAAAAAATATATATATAAATTTTAGATAGTTATTACTTGGCTGGAACGAGGTGACTGTAATAAAAGGAATGCCAATAACTTTTATTCCATGATCCAGTCTACTAACTCTCATGTAAGACGTTTGCTCAGTGAAAAGACGCAGTACGAAGAAGAGCTGAAAAAGGCCAAAGATATAATGAAGGGAAGGATGCAAGGAATATTATTACAGTGTAAGTACCTTTATTTATTAGTGTACCTTATCTCAGCAGTTTTTAGTAAGTATTTTTACTTTATTTGGTTTTAGTTATCAATTGGTGTTCGACAATAAATATGTCTACAAATAATACATTTATTATTATCTTGTGTCTAAAACGGATGTGATATTGTGAAGGTAGAAAGAACAATGTAGGTATATAAAAAAATTCAATAAGGAATTAAGGCGATATTAAGTTCAGTGGAATCGGTACACTATGTAATTCATTATTTGTGGTGTAAAGTGTTAGTAAATTATACAGGATATTGCAGTATTCCACCGACAAAATTAGTACTCTTATCAAAATTAAAGAAAAAGTTGTTCATGAACACTTCATTTTTTGATATAGGATGGAATGTTTTCATTATCTTTTCAGTTTTTCTCATTTATTTTACATAATTTCTGGTAAAAAATTTGGTTGCATATTTGATTTTCTTAAAAATGATTAGTTCGCTAGAAAGGCATTGAATTTAGAAACTTTTTATCTTTTCATATTTTTTCGTAAAACGCAGTGTTTTTGAAAAAAGTGACGATTCACGATGTGCATTTGATCACATTTAGACATTTTTCTCGAAAACATTGCGTTCTATGCATATCTGGATCTGTCTCAACAATCTCACGTTTTAAACTGTCTAACACTCCTTGTACACTTTTTATTCTTCATCCTCTTCTGAACCCAAAACGNTTAGTGTACCTTATCTCAGCAGTTTTTAGTAAGTATTTTTACTTTATTTGGTTTTAGTTATCAATTGGTGTTCGACAATAAATATGTCTACAAATAATACATTTATTATTATCTTGTGTCTAAAACGGATGTGATATTGTGAAGGTAGAAAGAACAATGTAGGTATATAAAAAAATTCAATAAGGAATTAAGGCGATATTAAGTTCAGTGGAATCGGTACACTATGTAATTCATTATTTGTGGTGTAAAGTGTTAGTAAATTATACAGGATATTGCAGTATTCCACCGACAAAATTAGTACTCTTATCAAAATTAAAGAAAAAGTTGTTCATGAACACTTCATTTTTTGATATAGGATGGAATGTTTTCATTATCTTTTCAGTTTTTCTCATTTATTTTACATAATTTCTGGTAAAAAATTTGGTTGCATATTTGATTTTCTTAAAAATGATTAGTTCGCTAGAAAGGCATTGAATTTAGAAACTTTTTATCTTTTCATATTTTTTCGTAAAACGCAGTGTTTTTGAAAAAAGTGACGATTCACGATGTGCATTTGATCACATTTAGACATTTTTCTCGAAAACATTGCGTTCTATGCATATCTGGATCTGTCTCAACAATCTCACGTTTTAAACTGTCTAACACTCCTTGTACACTTTTTATTCTTCATCCTCTTCTGAACCCAAAACGAAGTGTTCTCTAATTAGTTCTTCAATTTCTGTATAAGTGAGACCGTCGTCTTCATTTCGGATCAATTCTTCCACGTCTTCGGCCTCTATATTTTCGAAACCTTCTCTCCCCACTTGTCTACTTATTTCTACAATTTTTTCAATTTCTCTGTGAATGTGGTTCTACTGCACTTTCCTGAACACATTGAGGCCATAGCTTCTTCAGCAAGCATTAATGGTTGACAATTTCACCTCCGCCCAGGAGGCAGCAATATTTTCTATTGCATTTAAAATAGTAAATTGGTTCCAGCATTCTTTAACCAATATTTCTGGATTTTCTTCCAAACAGTGCAAAATATGAGAAAAACTATGTCTGGTATAGCAAGCCTTAAACGTTGCAATCGTCAAGCAAGCACTTTAAAAGCTGCCCATACATAAGCACTGCTTTGAACCCTATTATAGAGAAAGCAATAAATATGTAACTTCAACTGTGTTATGCTATTCTCGAAAATTGATAAATTGAGACAAGGCCAAGGGTTTGATATGTATCAAGTTCTTGCATATGTACACTTACGAATATTTATGGTTTCTCATAATCAGGTTTTCATCTGTAGAATTATGTGTATAATTCAGACCGCGAATGACAAAGCAAACGTCCCGTGAACGGCAAAGAAAAGGTGACATCGATTACTACCGCATAAATTTAAATCCGCGAGCCATAAATCCGCGAACGGCAAAGTTTTACTGTATTATAAAAAATGTGTAAATTTTGCACTATAAAATAAATGAAATAAAACTCGACATCTTAATTTTTTTGGTCAGCCAATTTGTAAAATTTTGTTTGTGGAATTTTGCAACGCTCCATATATAAATGATATTGAATTCAATGTAGAAATTTTATTGAACTGAATTAAGAAATTTAATTTAAAACAAGTATCCTTCTATGACAAAATACAAAATAAATGAATAAAATCATTAACTGATTTTAGTAAATAACACAGGCTGACAAAATTTGGCCGACCCTCTAACCCACAAACCAGAATGTACTTTTCCAAATTTCTCAACTGGCTCTAGTTTTCGAAAGTGCCAAAATTGCGATGTTTTGATATATTTGACGTTATGTTACATGGAAAGGTAATTTTTTTGCTAAAACCATTAATGGGGTCTTAAAGTAAATACTTACTATTTTAATATACTGACAACACAGCACCACAAACCTAAATTCATCGGCACCCGGAAGTAGGGATTTTACATGTTTTTGGGGTCGCTGATCATGAATCTGAACTCCAAAATACTCTATCACATCAAATTTTGCAAAAAACTTTAAAAATGTCTAAAAATTCGATATGTGGCCGATATTTTACGCATTATATCAATCTGAAATTACATTTACACACAAAAGAGACTAATACGCTCAATCCCGAATTCATAAACCCTAAGCCCAAAAACCCATAAGATTTGCGGTACTGTGTTGTGAATCTATTCAAAAGTCAAGAAATAAGTTAACTAAATTTCAACATGAGTGATTTCTCAAAGACAAAAAATGATATCGGGATAAATCCAAGTTCATTTTAAAGAGTAAGTATAGTACTTTAAGACCCCATTAATAGTTTCAGCAAAAAACCTCAAATAGTCAAAACATCGCGACTTTGACACTTTTAGGTTAGGATAACTCGAAAACCAGAGCTAATTGAGAAATTTGGACCTCGGATTCGAACTCATCGCACCAACACATACAAGATATTTCATAAGTAACCATAAAACACTGAACTGTGGATAGTAGAAACAAAATGTCAAATTTCCATTTGTAATTTAAGGAGTTTTTCGAATTTTCTCTTGAAAGTTGGTAGGTGCAGGATATTTGCATTGGAAATCATAATATGTTGATGCTGTTTATAGATATAAAGAATAAAATAAAAACAACAAAGTAACAAGATACAAACATAGTGAACAGAAATTATAACAGACAAGATTTAACTATAGAGTGGCAAATGCAAATAAGTAAATTTTAACTAAGTTTAGTTTATCAAGAAATCAAAGCTGAACAACAAATTTATTTCTATGTTAATTTCGTTAAGGAGGATCGAGTGCTATGAAAAATACAGCCAATTTCATATTATTGAGATATATTTTGCAATTCAAAATCAAATTCTGTGAATTATTTATGGATTTATGTTTGTTTTTAATTAATGCCAAGTTTGATTATTTAAGGTGGCCATATTCCTGGCCGAGAAATAGTGAAATTTCTGGCGTTTTTAGGTACTGAAATCTTTAAAAGTAAAACGTGTAGAACAAAAGTAAGCACAAAAATAAAATCCTTGATGTTTTGTTTATTCATTGTTACCATTTAAATTTACTCAAATAAAATAATAACTAAAAAAAAGCGTTTGTAAAACATGCGTTTGCTGTTATTCTAACCCTACATTTTAAGAATTATTTTCACGTACTTATAAATAAAAGTAAACAATTTTATATGTAGGACTAAGCAAGTAAATGTTATAAGAACATTTACATGTGGAATTATATATAAAAAAGTTAGTATTTTCGTAGATTTCAGTACCTAAAACCTTGATGGTTTGATCGTTTTTTGCACCTGTTTATTCGTTTTACTGCAGCGTCTTTGAAAATACTCAGGTGGCATGACATAACATTCCTATTATTTGATAAGCTTTAGATTATTCAGTTATTAAATGTTTGAAATTATTTGTCTTTGCGGAAAACACTATTTAAAGAATATGGGGCCCTTAACATAGGTTCTTATAGGAAATGGCTATGATGCTTACAATCGAATGACAGGTGAAAAAATGCAAATTGTAAGATGAAAAAAATTATAGACATTTACTTGAATCATTAATTAATACACTTTATTTCACTCCACGTGTTTGACATTGTTAGTCAATTTCTGTTTCTTTATCTTGTTATTTACCAGTGATTGATGTTATATTTAATGTTGTATATTGTTATGTCGAACTTATTAAAATTTTCAACGTTTCCTAAATATTTTTTTGGTAGGTATCTAAAATTTAACGTAAGTAAAAAAAATTTTTGCTCTATATAATGATGTCATTTCAACCTCTTGTTGATATTTTAGGAATAGCTCCAATGATGACTATGTAGTCGAAAGCGCTCAGCTAAGATTTTAATAAAAATTTTATACACACTTTAACATACAAATTTCTTTGGCTTTTCTTTAATATATTAATTAATAGATAGAAAGAAAAAAAGTAGGTTACGGCACATTTCACAGAGAAATAAAGAATCAAACATTAAAAGTTCTGACTTATTGTCCGCCAAGTAATAAATGCGAAGGAGTAATGGCAACAGCGCAATAGAGTATGAATGAGGATAGGTGGCGGGAAATTTAAATAAACGTTTCGATACACAACTTAGTCGTTAAAAATGGATTACATTGAACTTGTATTTATTTGTGTAATTCAATTTGGAATAATAAAACAAAATGGGAAATTTTCAAATGAAGTATGTTTTTTGAATTTTTTTTTATTTATAAAGTACGATAAACTTTCAGTACATGCATGTACCTATATCATATTTACTTTTCCATACGAATCACACAAAAATTCAAGAAATCAATAATGTCAATACATGACTTTTACTCTAAGGTTTGTTAACGGTATTTTGTACCGGTATATCCGTGTACCATAATTTGTTTTACCGGTATTTGCCTCCACTAGCTTCATTTGCCTTGCAAACATCAGCGCAATTGACCTCTCTTTCCAGGGCCAGTCCATAGTTTACTAGGTCAATGACCTATATACATAACAAGGACTGCCAATTTATAAATAATAAACACAATATCCCCGTGCGCTGTTGCCATGCCAAGTTTCAGCTGCAACTTTTGGCATTTATTTATGCATATTGGGTAAAAAATAATAATTGAGAAAAGGATATTTTAAGTATTTTAAACTCGATTCAATATCTACAAGCAAGTATCTCAATCTACTGACTTTCTAGTCATAAAGAATATTTTTCCCTGCATTGACAGCAATGATTTTATAACACGGTAAGTATAGGGCCACCGTGTCCCGCAGGACCCCCCCCATAAAGCAACCGATCCTCCTTACAATTATTTGCTATTTAAAAATTATTAATATAATCTAAATCATAAACAGAATTTCCTCTACTATTGCAATTTTATAATTGTAAATTTCATTGTGCATATAATATGAGTTATAACTAGGCTATATTTAGTCACACATTTCAACCTTTTAAAAAAGTTAAGGTGAGTACTGAGTATTAAATTTTCGATTATATAAGTAATTTGTAGGCATATTTGTTAATTCCAAATTCAAAATCATTTACTATAATATATATATGTAAGGCAGTATAGTTTACAAAAGTAATTCCTTGTGAAATTGTGTAAAAAGTATAATGGTTAGATCGAGATATACTGTACCTCAAACTTGGAGTATTAAAGAAAAGAGAATACAAATATTTTCTGCATTAAACAGGGTTAATAAAATCTGTAATCACGAATTGCTATTATATAAAAAAAAGAACGATTGGTTTGATTCTCTACTACTTTAAACTCCTTGATGCCAAACAACTAGGACGCTCCCTTAAATGGTAAAGTCATAGCATCGCAAATTCATTTGTGTTGCTATCGAACGAAGGATACAGTATAATTAACTATTGATATGGTTATAATGGTGGTTTAATTATATATTTGCGTGTGCCTGTTAGTCAGTCAAATTGAGCGATTATTCTTGGCGGCCTGCCACAAGAAGGTTTGGGACCATTTCACCAAGGCTCAGAGAAAGAACATAGAGACTTGGAAAAAGCAGTCATTGGTATGTACTACCTAGGACTATCAAAACGTTTATGCGGTTACGGCATTTGAAATATATAAAGGGTACAAAAATGTATTGATCTTTAATCAAAGTGAAAGAAATGACAAAAATTTTGCAATTTCAAGGCAAAAGTAAGTTGACCTTTACTCCTAAAAACTGAATACGTATAGGTTATCCCAATATTCCACAGACATGGAATGATAAAGACAATTTTTATTATTACTATAAACTTACCTCTATTCAATGTTGCAGCAAGAGGGTGTCAAAGTTGACAAAAAATTTTAATTTTTTCGTAATAACTCAAAAGTACTTTACTTGTGTATAGATGCCACTTTTTAACATGGTAATCGAAGTAATTGCTTTTACAAAACTGAAACAAGTGTGACCACCTCTAAGCAAATATAGTTTTTTCATGTCACCATACAACTTCTTACCTTATTTCATTATAAAACTAAACTTTTTCTCTTGCAATTTTTTTGTGTACTTGTGTACTATTTTTCTGTAATTAATTACATTATTACAGTGGCGGCTCAAAAATAAAATAATATTTTTAATAATAATGTAATTAAAAAAATTGTTCCTATTTGGTTTAACAATATTAAAAAATAAGAAAAAACTTTTTTTTTAATTTTATAAGATAGCCAGCCAACCTATCTATTTATATATAAAACAATGCCACCAGCTTTTGGTTTGCCTCCACATTTAACAAAATATTTTAAAAACATAGTGAATGTTTTTATAAAACAAGTCTAATCGTCGGTCTTTTAAATTTGCAAATTTAATATGTCTTCCATAAAATTGGGGATTGACACTAAGACTTTGCAAAAGTTCTTTTTGTCACCATCACTGATAAGTTGTTTAAGTGCTCTTGTGTCATCGTATTTATAAAGTAAGTCTTAATGCGCTTAAGACACAAAAAGTTTCTTTCTACCGAGACACTTGTTGCAGGAACTGTTAAAACTAGGCAAAACAATTTGTATGTTTCAAAAAATACTCGTACCATTTTAAATGCTTTGTATAATTTTTTACCGTTTTTTTTGTACTTCTAAATTACTAAATTGTTTATCTCTGTACAAAATATTAAGTTCGTTTTTCAATCCATCTATTTCAAAAACGTTTGGATACATTTGTAATAAACATTAAAACTATTTTTTGGGAAATTTATTTGCGTATTCGGGAAATTTTAAGGAATCTACTAAAGCAGGAAAATTTAAGTCATGTAAATTCCCAAAATGGGTAGGTACTTAATTGAAGGGAAATGCAATCTGTAATGTAGTGGTATTTTATAGCTCCAAAATATTTCTAATTCGTCATAACTTATACCTCGTTTACTTGGTAGTCCAGCAATATTTTTTGCATACCTAATTAAAAATATTTTTTAATTTTTCTTTGTTAATTCAGAAATTCTTTGACTAATAATTTTAATTTGTTTAGAACAGTACTTAGTCTACGTCATTATGACTTGGAATATAATAGATAATATGATAGGTACCTATTAAATTACGTTAAATTTAGTCTTACCTTGTTTTGTTGCAAGGAAGTTGTTTTTTATTTACTCTAATTTAATACCTGCCTCATATTTATCCTTAAAGCCTTCGTAACGTCACTCACAGTGACATCAGACACTACCCGCGTAGTACGCAGCGCGTACATTAACCACAAACTTAAACTATAAGCCACTCTAAACGAGCCTCAGGTTCCCCCGTAAATGGTAACCATTTTCAAAGTACCTAACACAATTTAATTCTGTAAATAAAATAGTATATTGAATTAATTCCAGATTTTGGTCGTTCTTCAAATTGTAAACGGTAGTTTCTCAAAAATAGTACAGATACAAATTTAATAGTCACAATTTACAATACTTATTGCATATATTTTTTTTTCAAATATTTCCTCGTCTGTAATTTTGGGTATTTTCCATCATGGCATCTGTGTGCAACTATAAACTTTTTTTAACATTGACGCTCTCTAACAGCTAAGCAACTTTGGATACAGATAAGTTTACTTCTATCGTCTTATTGGTGTGGCCATTGCCTGTACATAGGATATTGGGATATCCAATATAACAACATGGTTTTGTCACTGTACTAAAATATAAACAACAAAAAGAACACTTTACTTGCATACATTTCCTTTTCCAAAAAAAACTCTTCAGAAAATCTGGAATATTCATTTTTGTACTAGGTTAACAAAAATACAATTTTTTTTTTTTTTTTTCAAGTATGTTTCACACAATAATCAGTATAATTTTTTACATTTTGAAAGTCCATGGTAATTTTGCACGTTAGGATTAGTCATTGATTTAATACTTAGGTTTTTTGTACAAAATTAGTTTTGTTACAAATGGTATAATTACATAAATATTGGGCTGTTTTCATGTCATTTATGGTTTTGAAAAAGGTAAGGTAAGGTAAGTCAGGCACTCACAGTCAGTCAAACTGGAGATGGATTTGGACTGGATGGACAAATACATAGTTTGCAATTGTTGCTAAAGGAGATATTAACATTCGACTTAAATATTATGCAGTACATTTCATATTAATTAATCAAAACCGAAAATGCTGATTGAGATGATACTGATCAGTTTCTATGTCCAGATAGTTTTTGTTGTATATTTAGAGGATGTTCAAAATTATTAATTATGCAACAAAATAAAATGTAAAAATTTTCTTCATTTTTTTATAAAATTTGGTAAAATACAAATTTTTTACAACCCGTAATATTGTTTTTATTACGGCCTATATAGGATGTAACAAGAATGCTTGGCCAAACGTTAAGGGCAAATTCTGGGTAACAAATTTACTTTCTATAAACATGTGTCTTAGAAATACCTCAATTTTAAATAGTAAAATGGATAAATTGTTACCTTTGCCAATAAATCCATTTTTTTTTTCTGGAGGCATTTTTGGTTAATCCTACTACCAATCATTTCATAACTTCAACTTAAAATGTTTCCAGTAAATGAAATTTTGTTTAGAATGTGTATGTGTATTATATGTATAATTAAAAGTAAACATCTATTAGAAATGGAGAATGGAGCAGAAAACCTTATTAATTTTATAGGTGGTAATCTTGTCAGTAACCGCTCAAAAAATAGGGGTAAGCTGACAATAATTCGCATAAATCTGAAAATTGGTACGAATGTTGGGAACACCATTATAAATGAAGTGTGAAATGTCCCCATCTATCCCACATCTGGCAAAAAAATGTATTCAAGGTCAAAGTTCGCAAATATGGGTTTTTTGCATTTTTCACCGAACGGTAAGTTTTATCATAAAAATATGTCGGACAAAAATTGTAGATCATGCAATTATTTATAAAAATCGTTCTTACACTTTTTTCCTAAGAACACCATTTCTGAGATATAGTGATTCAAAAAGTTGAAAAAGTTGTGTTCTCTATAATATGCACGCGTTTCCACGCTCCCTGTGAGGTAGTGTAGTTGGCGCATTTTTTTAACGTGGTTTCCCCGGTAGGTCTATTCCACGATCTATTGTGGTCCTGTTTAATTAAATAATAATGTAGTAAATAAAAAATGGTACTATTGGAAATGATGAAAGTGGTGTGAATTATGAGTAATTGGGGAAAACTATTCGTCTGATTGATAATTATCTAATGGAACTTCAAGTCTAATGTCTTCTTCTTCCCTGCCTTCTTCTTCTTCCTGCTAGATATGAGTAAATTGTTCTAACAGTGATGCATCAGATGTCTCCACCCTGATATCGTAAGAATCCTCTTCTGATGGCGATTCAACATTGGAGCACGACTGGCCTTGACAACTGGTACATGCTAATGAACAAAACAATTCAACTTTTTTGCAGCCGCACTTAGCACTACACCCGGTATTGCAATTGCAAAAAATTGTATTTAGTATTTAGGAATTTTTCTGGTGCAGGTGGGAGTAAAGTCTTGATTGGTTCCAATGTATTGTCAGTTAACTTCCAACTCCAGTCTTTTGGGTCCAGTTGATTACCAAGCCACACTTGAACTTGATAATATACCCAAAATAGATGTTAATGATCAGAAGCAGAAGTTGGGAGAAGACAAGCTAATTACACTTGTTTATTGTTACGAGTATTTTTTACAAAAGATAAGTATCGAAACTTATCTAAGCAGGTAATTTTTTTTTGGAGCTCCATATACAGAAAGAAGGAAGCGAATTCCGTCGGTGATTATAGCTCGTGGAGTATAGTTACTCTCTTTAAAAACTTTAACACAATTAACTAAATTTTGTCTTTCAAACAATTTAAAAACTGTTGTTTTACATGTCCTGAAAATTGCTGATGTCGTATCGCAGCCAATTACTGCGTGTAAAAATAGTATGTGATTTTGGCATTTTGAAAAAGCAGATAAACTTTTGGATGAGTGTATTTCCAATCGCTGTTGAGCCTACACTACATCATTGGTGGCATGGAAACATGTGCATATTATGGAGAACACAACTTTTTCAACTTTTTGAATCGCTATATCTCAGAAAAGGCGATTCTTAGGAAAAACAGTGTAAGAACATTTTTTATAGAAAACTGCATGATCTACAATTTTTGTCTGACCTATTTTTATGATAAAACTTACCGTTTGACTGAAAAATGCAAAAAAACTATATTTGCGAACTTTGACCTTGAATAAATTTTTTTGCAGATGTGGGATCGATGGGGACTTTTCACATTTCAGTTATAATGGTATTCCCAACATTCGTGTCAATTTTCAGCTTTATGCGAATTATTGTACCTTGAATGTCTATATTCACCGGACTATGGCATTATTATGGAATTTGTTATTCTTTCTTGTCCAGTAATCTATAAAAACCAGTTGTATTTCCTAACTCGCCGCGCGCGCCATTATTCCATGGTTAGAAATTGGCCTCAATGATTTGGGATCGAGGGGGATTATCCCTCTTTATCCTGCCCTACCTCGTGTAGGCCTGGACAGCCTTCGTAGGTGGGCCCCATCCGTCGTCTACCCCGACCGCAAATGCGGCCGGTGTAGGCGCTTTGTGGGACCTCCTTTTGTCCTGACTGGGCCCCGCCGGCTAGGGCCCTTTCTTCTGGCGCTCTTCTTGCTTCGCCGGCTCGTCTGTGTAAACCCCGGGGGTAGTGTCATGTTTATGTGTGGTATGGTTGGGTAGGGTAGTGCGGCTATGCAGCCTGGGATGCGCTTTGCTAAGGTGGCCCTTAGGCTAGCGCGGGAGGGAAGGGGTAAGGAGGGTATGGAGGGTGTACGTGTGTGTGTGTGTCGTTGTCTTCGTTTCTTGATCCTGGCGGTCTCTGAAACAGAAAAGCTTAGCGGGCAGGGGGGGGGATGTCGTTGGTGTGGTCACCCAGGGTCAATTTCCTAACTAAAGAAAAAAACATACATACATACATACATGAGTCATAAGTAGAGATCAGAAATGTTAGGGCTGCTACAATGTGGTAGGGTTGGCTGTAGGTTGGGTTCTCTTTTTATGTAATTTTCTTCAAACAACAAATGACACAACTGTTGCCTTCTTATAACTGCACTCATTTGCATAATAGTATGAAACAAAAAGGGGCAGTGTTTATTTTTCTACATTAACGCTTCACATGGAACTTACTATAAAATATATAAGTATAGTACGTAATAATAAGTACCAGCAAAAGTTATCAAAATAATAATTTCTAACTCGTAAGGAAAGCGATTGATCAGTTTATTCGATATGTATCTAGCGACACCCTTTTCTGGCTGTGCATTTGTTGTTTTTTATGGCAGTCATTAGGATTGTGTATTGTGAGCATAGAGCGGCACAAGACTTGACCACAGATTTAGACTATGTCTGCTACTACAACACGTATTACCGCTTACTGGCATAATATAAATTACTACTGTTTATTTATTTGATTATCGCCACAAAGTTTCCGATCTCTAGTTATGAGTCAATCATGAAGTTTGGGGTTCAACTGAGTTAATGTGTATCCAGGTTTGTGATCTGTATAATCTTACAAATGAATTAATGAACTGTATCACAACACAGACCTTTTTAGAAAGTATAAAACAGTGTTGCTTTCTTATATTGTCCAAAACTCTGCAAAGGGGGTAGTAAAAATATTTTTTTCAAATAATCAGTTCAGAGAATAGTACCTAAGCTATAATATCCTGAAGATGAAAGGTAGGTGACGCAAATTCTGGATTTGGAAATTTTATAATTATACCAGTAAGAAATCCACTCGGGTCCTCCCAACAGTTACTGTGGTTATCGGACAGAACGAATTTGAAAAGGTAGTATATTGGTATAAATTGCCTACTTTCAATATAGTACATATTGCTAAAATTAAGCTAAGTGCAACAAATGCAATCTAATCTAATCAATAGGTACCTCAGGAGTTAGATTATGTTTTTTCCTGATATATTCAATAAACTTATTTATTCTCTTTATATGAAGATATGTAAGTATGACAACACATTTAAAGGTGGGTGCATTTTTTTAAATATTTTTCTTGTTAATCTCTGATCCAGTTTTCATCCTTTGAGGGCATTTTCTTTTCCATACATTTTATACGCAATGATTAATTATTATGAACATGTACTGCGTAAAAATATTGATCGTTTGACAGTGGATGTAGTTTGAATAATGTTATTCCATTTTTAGCGGTATCCAATATTTACAGTTATTCTGTATTTATAGGAAATTAAAAATATCCAGCTGGAAGAATCTTCAAATGAGAAAGATGACGATGAAATGGATGTGTCGGATGATGATGAGCCATCGAAAAAGAAACACCGGGCAGAAACGGGTGTCGAGGAGAAAAATAATCTGAAAGACGAAAACGACAGTTTACGTTGTCAGATGGAAGCATATAAAAATGAGGTAATTAAAATCATATGATTGCGCTTCCCGATAATTTAAATTTTGCAGTAACTTACATACGAGTTCACTACAATGATATATACCAGAGCATGGCTCGTTGGCTATCAAATGCGCTACATGAAATAAATTTTATTTTTGTAACTTCAATTTTTCAGTTAGCAAATGTTTTTTTTGCCAATAGACATTAGGCTTTTTTTCGCGAGTGAATATTGGTGAATACGTCTGACTTGTAGTTACTGTTTCTATCTCTTTTAATCTTTTTTCTAACCTTGTCTAACCTGAACAGATCGCGAAAATGTATATATTCACTATTCAGTGGTGCAGCCTATCATATGTACTTTGACGACTTTGACATATGGGTTCTAACTTCTAACCAGTAACCATAATTTGTCATCCTTTATTGCTTCCAGTAATCTAGTGTTGTGGGAATTGGTGTTATCTCACTATATAATATATGTATTTGAACTGAAGGAATATATCAATGTTTTCTTTAGAATATTTTTAAGTGGCAAATTTAAAAAGCGTGAAAAGTATGTTCATTGTATGTAATTCATACGAAAAAGACCTGAATTACAAATGATTCCACCAATATTATCTATCAAAGTGGATCGCAAATATGTCCCATATAAAAAATTAATCTTACCATTAAGTAAAATATTTGCTGTTTCAACGTCTACGTTTACTAAAACATCTGTGCCTCTAAAGTTTAAATTTAAACTGACCACTTCCACAGCCGTATCAGAATCCATCATTTTGCTGAACGATTTTTATCCTCATTCAAACAAAATGTCAAAAAGAAAAAGGTTAAGTTACCGGCTGACAATACTAGTTGAATATACCAACAGAATATTCAGCTGAAGGGTGAAGAGTTCAGTCATTTGATCTAAACTTGTAACGTCACATAGTAGTTTAAATGACTGACTATTCTCGCAAAAACGTAATATTCACNTTAACCCTTTCACTGCTCCAGACGTATATATTCGCTAAAAATTTATAGGGCTCAAACTGCTCCAGACGGATAAATTCGCATGAATAGTTAAATTGGATCAGGCTGCTCAAACCGTATATATTCGCAACCGTGCGCATAGTGACTCGGTTATTGCAATTGGTAAGGCGAATTTTTGCGGGCGAGCTTATACCGATTGTGACAAATATTTTTATGGAAAGAGGTACTGGTAATAGTACCAAGATTGTTCATGTTTCTTTCAGTTTCTATTTAGTACATATACTGTATTTTATTCAAAATAAAATCGTAAAATTTATCGTAAATCGTAATTTAACACAACATAATGTAAAACTATAAGTGGTCTAACTGCTCCAGACGTATATATTCGCACGCGATAAACAATCGCGCACGGCGCGGTAGCTACGTTCAGACGTATTGCGCAGCGAAAGGGTTAAAAAGACACAGGGTGTTAAACTTAAAAAAATGTTTTTAATTTTTTTAAATAATTTAAAAACAGTAAGTAACAATTTTAAATTGGGCACATGTATTTATGTAAACATTGTCCAAAATATGAGGCCTTTTCCTAAATTTTAGATGCTCCAGTGGCAGAGATACAGGGTATCAGCATATTTTTCTAAATAAAATAGTATATCACTGCTTTTTCATTCGGTTATTTATTCGAATAAAAAAATTAATAACATTGGTCATAATTTTAATGAATTTATTTAAGTATATGCTCAAAAATGCCTCCATTTCCACGAACACAAGCGCGACATCTTTTTAATAACGAAAAATTAACTTATTAGAAATGTATTACTTAAATCTGATGAAAAGCGTTATTTATTCTTTCTTCTAGCTGCTCAGAATATCAAAGTTGCTATCGCAGCCTACTATGTAATTTTAATCTGCATTTTATTTGAATATCGAAGTGTTTTCAGTTTGTTTTTTAAGTTTTACTCAAAAATTAGGCTTTTTCGAAAAACATAAAAGTGTAGTAATTTGTAGAAAATTGAAAGATGAATCCGCAAATATCATGATTGTTAACGTAAAGCAGTGTCATACTATTTTATTTAGAAGATATACCACCGATACCCTGCATCTCCGCCACTGGAGCATCTAAATTTTAGGAAAAGGCCTCAGATTTTGGACAATGTTTACATAAATACATGTGCCCCATTTCAAATTATTTCACTTACTAGTTTTTAAATTATTTAAAAAATTTTTAAAAATTTTTACGTTTAACATCCTGTATCTTTTTAATGAAGCATCCTAAATAAAAACTTTATACGAAAGACTCCCCTTAAAATTCTACAAAGAATACGAGGTTTCATTTTTGGTCACTGTTTGTGGATCACCCTGGATGCTTTACCATTTGAATATTTAAAAAAAATTTTGTTACTATCTGTTTGTATAGGTCTTGCGGGACTATATTTCCGATATATTCGCTTACAATAAAGAATATTTTTTTCATTGTTTTTGTAGTTGGCAGATCTATGAGCAATCTATTTCCCATATCTTCAATATCTCCGATTTTTATTTGAAGTAATTCATCATATCTACATGCCCCAGATATGGCAAAAATCATTGCCACCTACAATAATAATAGTATTCTTCGTTTACAAGAATATTTAAATTTTTAATTTGTTCATTTTCTAAAATGCATGATTTTTTAGCACAATTCAGTGGCGGCTCGTTAGAGGAGGCTGGGGAGGCTAAGCCTCCTCTGCAGTTTTTGATAGTATTGCAAAAGTTTTCTTTTAGTTTTTTTTATTTTACATCATATAATTAATATCATTTAAGAAATTTTCATACAAATCTATTTTCATATGCAACTAATTAAGTATCTACCAAGGAAGACCTTGAGTACGTAAATATACGATTTTTAAATGTTCACTATTTTTCGCGCCCTCCGAATTCGTATTATAGTCGCTGGCAGCTAACTTTCTCAAACCTCCAGCCTTTATCAGTGTTCTATATGCTGGGAGACCTTGAAATGATGCCACGATGTCTACATTCGAGCTTAAGCAGTCGAGCACGGAGGCTTGTTGCCACCGTCTATCTCTTTTTAACAAGCGAATCTTTCAATATAGCACTTCTTCTCTACCACCTCGGCGATCGCAGTTGTATGTTGCAATGTTGCATTTCATTGTAAAAACATTGGTCATCTGTGAGTAGCGAGTTTTTGTTTTTAACTGGTGTTTATGTGAAGTTTTTCTTAAGAATTTCTGTGAGACGATCATAATTAGTAATACAATAATTTACATTTTACTCTGGTACATACTTAACTTTATTAAAATAAAATGAGTGCGGAAAACGAACATAACCTCAACAACCTCTTTAGTTGCATGGACATTGTAGATTACTTATTATTAAAAGGATTTAGTACTCTCAGTTATGATGAAAAGCTTATAATTAAACAGAAATAGAGACCAACACCTTCATTGCAGTCTTTAGTTGCAGTGGATGAAAAACAAAATAGGGGATTTAACGATAATAATTATAGAAAAACTGCATCAACTATTAGAAATAAATTATACTGCTGGCATTGTTTATTTTTCGCTAATGATAATTTATCGGTGTGGAGCAGGATGGGTTTTAACAATTTAAAAAATTTAACGAGAGGCCTCGAAAAACACGAAAAATCGCAAGAACATATTTCATCGCGTATTAAATTTGAAATGTTTGGTAAACAGAATATTGTAAAATATCGTAAACACTATAGATTCCGCTCACAAAACGGAAATAACAACATTATAATGAGAAGGTTCGTGAAAATAGAGATGTTTTAAATAGACTAATCGATGTAGTAATATTCTTATCGTCTCAAGAAATTTCTTTTCACGGACATGATGAAAAAGTGGATTCTGCTAATCGTGAGAACTTTAAAGAGTTAATAAATTTATTAAAAACATACGATTCAAAATTGCAGAATTTCTTAAATAATGCCACTGTTTTTTCGGGAACCTCTAAAACCATTCAAAACGATTTAATTGAGAGTATTAGTTCAATTATCAAAAGTAAAATTTATGATGAATTAAAAATTGCGAATTTTTCTCCTGGCAAGTTGATGAAACCACAGATGTTACCTGTAAGTCTCAATTATAGGTAATTTTTAGATATGCAGTGCATGGAGAAGTTGTTGAAAGATTTGTTGGATTTTTTGACATAACAAATGGGAGAGATGCAGATAGTTTGTTTAAATTATTAATTAATGAATTTGGAAAATTTGACTTAAAAAATAAATTAATTGCTCAAACCTATGATGATGCTGCGGGTAAGTCAGGTCATGTTAATGGACTTCAAAGAAAAATAAAAGACGTTGTTCCTCAAGTCTATTTTAATCATTGGTAAGCACATAAATTAAATTTAGTTTTAAATAGTCTGCAACGGCATTAAAGAAGTGAGAATTTTTTTCAAATATTCCCGGATTTTATAATTTTTTCCAAATAGACTAAAAGATCTGACGTATTAAATAAAATAATGTAACACAGGATTCCAAGTAATGCTCCCACTCATTGGAATTTCTCTTCTAGAGCTATATTTACGGTCAAAACTTATAGAAAGAAACTTATTGAGGTTTTTTATTTCATATCGGATAGTGAGGATTTTTTAAATGATCGACAAACCTTAAGATCCGCTTATGGATTAAAACAACTGATGGACAAAAATTTCATTTTTTTCTTGAAAACAAACAACAAACCGATCTTGTATTTCAAATTTTGCAGAATAAATTAACTGACTTAACATTTTCTAAAAAAAGAATTAATTCACTTTTATCAAAATTAAAAGAATTCTGTAATAAATGAGATACATTTCAACAGGTTGTATGCAATTTTCTTAGAAGACATTGACGAAACCTTTAACGATGACGCCCTCAAAGAAAAGAAAGACAAGTTTAAAGTTTTTTATTTCAAGCCTCTGCCAAATATGCCACGAGCCGCCACTGCACAATATCTATCCGATTGCCGTTTCAAGAATGCTTTTAATTTTAGATACTTTCCAATATCGATATTGTAGACATTCAAAGTAGCTCTGAGCATCGCATATATTGACCATAATAAAGATTCATCATACTTTTGCTTAATTCAGAAAAATGTACCAATATTACATTTTCAGAAGAAGGCAATGTTATTCTCAGCCCAGTAATCAATACATTTTTTATATGTTTACTGATATATCTTCGATTTTTCTGATAATAAATTGCACTCTATTTCTGTACCTCCGAGCTAAACTGTATTAACTCCACTTTTTTGCAAAAACATTATGAACTCCATCTATGTTCAAGAAAAATAAACATAGGTGTTGATCAAACTTGTTTCAATAAAACTAGTATGTATACACTCAACTAATCTCGTTTAACCATCTGACAAAATATAATAAAAGCGCTATGTACAATTAATTGAGATTAAATTTTATAAACAGCTCTCCTGTCTAAATGGGAGTTAATACAGTTTAGCTCTGAGGTACTGATTTGCTTTGCTGATTCAATAATTTCTGGCAACTGCAACCTGATGAAATTATTATTATTCATGAAATGTTAGTAATATAAAATAAAAAGCTTTGTTTGCTATTATGATAAAATTAAAATTGATTAGCAAAAAAATGATGTGTTTAACTTGGCAGTAAAGTAGATGTAATGCCTTGGCTGCTTTAATAGACGAGGCTTATTTTTTGTAGGTAGAAGTACTAAAAATGGACTACAAAAAAGATATGGAAGACAAAGACAAACAATTCAAAATGTTACAACAAACACTACAGGGGATGCAGCAACAACTAATCGATGCCAAAAGAAAGCAAAGTGAAGAGGAGGCCAAGGTTAAAGAACTACAGGCCAAACTGAGAACAGAAAATAAAGGTAAACACATAAACGATAAAGAAATCATAACTCTTGACGATAGTGAAAACGAACAAAGTGATTCAGTAAGTGTGACGGAAAGTTCAACTGAGACTGTTCAGCGATTCAACGAGTGCGACGCAAAGCTGATAGGTATCATATCGGCATTTCTGAATGTCCATCCTTTTGGAGCGGGCTTGGATTATATTTGGTCATACGTTAGTAAAATAGAATCAAATTTAAGGCCGGCAGAAATAGAATCTCTTATGAATCGGTTTCCAACTGTTTTCAAACAGGAATTGGTCGGAATCGGGGCAAATATTGAAAGAAGATGGATATTCAATGCCTTCAATACTACCGTTAATAATACAAATTCGAATCATTAATTTTCATGTCTTAGTTATTATTATAGATTACATATTGTATTTATTTTCTAGTTAAGTTTGGACTGTGAATTTTATCCTAAATATACAACACAATTAAATCAGTTTTATTTTAAAATCAGTCCCTGAAAATACTTTAATCATCTTTCAAATAAAACTAGAGTATCAATGGTTTGAATAACAAACCGGGGGACCTCGTATTCAAATAAAACCAGCTGTGTAGTACTCTAAGACTTTTAAGCAATTTCTCATATTTTTTAAGAAAATCGACAAAGTGGTTGTTTATCGAAAAGGAACCGTATGCCAAATTGTCACCAGATTAGATTTTTACAAGCTTTTACTTAACTTCACATGTATGTTTGTTTGTATGTATGTTTAGTTCAAATCTTGCAAGCCAAATTTAAACTACTAAACTTACAAATTTTGCATGCTTGTTCAATTCTGAAGAAAATCCACTAAAATGAGATCCACCCAATCAATCGATTGCATCGAAAACATCAATAAAATCCCATAAGATCGTACAAAAGTCGCCCGCATTGGAAACATTGGCGAAATCTCATGATGACGAGTACATGAGTCACGACGAAGTCCCGTCAAAAGTCATCAATCAGAAACATCGGTGAAATTTCATAATCATCGATGACGGGAACGTCAAAGGTCACTAGCATCGGTAACGTCCGCAAAATTTCATGATTGATTGTCTTGGCGAAGAGAAGTACATAATATAGTCGACATTGAAAAGATCGGTAATATTTTCTGACTAACCGACGTCAAAAGTCACCGACATCGGAAAGGTAGGTGAAATTTTGTAATTGAGTTTACAATCGACGAAGCAGAGTTGACAATTAGTTATCGCCATAATATAATTGTGTAAGGGATATTTCTCTATCGTCAACAACGTATTATTTCACATAAAATTTATTTACTCGATGTATGTTTAGATCAAATCTTGCAAGCCAAATAGAACTTACGACTTCCTCTAAACTTCCGACTTTGAAATTTTGCATGCTTGTTCAATTCTGATGACAATCCACTAAAATGATAACCTAACCTGATGCTGCAGCCAGGATTGTGCCCTCATGAGAGCACTCCTCAACGATTAGTAACAGAGGATAGATGAGAAATATTTCTGATTAAAAAGGTGTAAGGTGTAAGGTATAAATGAAAAGTAAAAAAAAATATTTTTTTATAAAAACGCACTATAAAGAAATATATAAACGAAGTAGTTCATAAAACCCATAATGTTGTGTATACCCCAAACCCACAAAAGGGCTCAATATGGCTGCTCTATAGAAGTGTCGTCAGCAAAAGTATGATAAATAGACACGTACAATCAATACTCAGCATGTCCATGTTCTTATGCGATTTAAATGCGCGTAATTTTCTTAACTTACTCCTTAAAATAAAAATTCCAATTAGGAATAAACCTCGCGACAAGCTTTAAATCGCATAAGAATATGAACATACTGATTATACAAGATGTCCACATTACGGACCGTGGTTATTTAAGACACAGAAAGATATACTTTCACCAAGTTTCGTCAAAATTAAATTATTTTTGCAGAAATGAGAAATAAAAAACAAAATACCAGAAAAAAAAACTGTTTTTCGCATTTTTCTCGGAAATTTTGAGGTTTTGTTAAAAATTGACCTCTACAAAAGTTGTAGATTTTTGCATGATCTACGACTTTTGTATTAGATTCTTTTTTGTTTGACGTCAGCTTTTGCCAGAAATCCCAATGATACAATTTTTCACAACTTTTCAACCCTCCACCACCCCTGCTTACATATTTATATATATATTTTTTGTTTATTATAAGCCCTTTTACCATTTCCACTTATAAAAAATCCAGGTAACAATTTTCTTTTTTTTTCCTCTAAATGAGTTATTTCGATCGGTCTAGTACTGAAAATTGTTTTATCAGATTAAGAAAATTCTGGTTTATAACAACACATTATTTTTATATTTCAACATATAAAATAAATACAAATTTATAATGAACACACAAAACTACTTTTTCTTCTTTCCTTTTTTCTCTTTCACTGGAGGATCAGAAGGCAATTCTGGTTCAGGTGCTGGCGGCGGCTGCGGTTCTGGTTCTGGCTGCGGTTCCAGCTGCGGTATTACTTCAGGTTCCGTCGGAGTAGGGGGTACCTCTGGAGGTGGTTTGGAAGCTGCCAATGCTTTCTCAATGGTTTGATAAAACTCAGTCTCGGCTTGTTGGACAAAATTATCTTGAAACACTCCTTCAGCGACAGTTTCGACTTCTTCTTCGGCAACATCTTCATCTACATTATCTGCTGCTTGTTTTGTTTGTTTTAATTTCAAACGCAATTCCCTATTTCGAGCTTCTAATATCTTTTCACGACGACTTTCTCTTTCAAACATCTGAAAAATATGGGGCCTGATGAAACATACAATAACTTTGTTTAAATGTAATTATTCAATGATTAATAGGAAATTAAATTATAGGTGTCCAATTTTATGTCTCAAGCCGCCAAATTTTTTTAATTCGACTTTTATAAAAAAATATTTTGAACAAAAGTTATCAGGTTTCGAGGGCTCAAATTATGTTGACCCTGAAGTCAATTATCAAAATCATTTCAAGGCCAACCTTAATTTTCAAATGGAAACCCATATTTTGTATTGCAGATTCATATTCTGCGGGAAAAATATATAACTTTTATATGAAACATTTTTTTGAAAATGCGCGGAGCGCGTTATACTTTTACTGTTCCACTTTAATTCTCAGGCTAATATCTCAAGTAATAAGCAGGATGGTGAAAAATATTTCCGACAAAAGTCAGGTTTCGGTGGGGGGGGAATACTGTGACCTTGAAATTAACCTAAAAGTCAATTATCAAGGTCATTTCAAGGTCAATCTTGATTTTTTAAATGGAAATCCATATTTTTATTACAGGAAGCCTTTTCAAGAAAAGTATTTCTTCATACAAAATTTACGTATTTTTCCTGCAGAATACGAATCTGCAATAACAAACATGGATTTCCATTTGAAAATTAAGGTTGACCTTGAAATGATTTCGATAATTGTCTTCAGGGTCACCATAATTTGACCCCTTAAAACCTGATAACTTTTGTTCAAAATAATTTTTGAAATGACCTTGATAATTATTAACTTTAAGGTTAATTTCAAGGTCACAGTAATTTGATCTCCCCCAAAACCTGACGACTTTTATCCTGCTTATTACTCGAGATATCAGCCTGAGAATTAAAATTAAATTAAAAGTATATCGCAATCTGACGAGGGAACGAAGCATTTTCAAAAAAAGGTTTCATATAAAAATTACGTATTTTTCCCCGCAAAATACGAATCTGTAATAAAAAAATATGGGTTTCCATTTAAGGTTGACCTTGAAAATTGACTTCAATGTCGCCATAATTTGACCCCATGGAATCCTGAAAACTATTCGAAATATTTTTTAATAAAAGTCGAATTTAAAAAATTATGCAACCTGATACATTAAAATGGGACAGTATAAAAGTAATAATTAAGTAGTAAGTTAAGTAAGTAGTAATATTGTATTATAATTTCAATGTACGAATATTATGAACTATATTTTAAACGTTTACTTACTGCGGTTAGTAGCATCTTGTCGTTTTTATTGCAAACTGATAAGTTCTCGCTGAATTCTACCAAATATATGGATCCTTTTTGGTTGCCGACAGCCACCAATCGACCCATATCATGAGTTCTAAGACATTTCAGAGGCTCATCCGCAACTTTTACACTTAAGGACGCTTGTTTTTGTTGTTGTAAAATATCCCAAACATCTAGTGTACCATCACTTCTTGTTGTGAAGAAGACAGATAATCTAAAAGGAAAATATAGAAATTTATATACAGGGTGTCACTGGATTAGACGAAACGACGCTAAGAAGCAAAAAAATTGTTGACAAGTTCTGTCAAATAAATAAATAAATAAAATAATTGGTGATTACTATAAAAATGTGAGAACTGTTAGAGATGAAAAGCTGGATTGACGAAACGTAAGAACAGGTTCGACAATTACCCAGAGGTGGTGTTAATAAGACTAAGCATAAATAAAAAAACTTATTAAGTTAAACTACCATTTCTGAAAAGGACCCCGCACAAAATGAATGGAAATTGGGTCACGCTAGATTTGGCTGGAATTGTGATATGATATAGAGGGGGAAAGTGTGTGATTTTGGCTGTAGGACCGAGTAAGCTTCATGAGGTTGAAGTTGATAGATTCAAAAACTCAGGCATGCAATGAATTTTGACCAGTAGATACAATACTTTTGGGATCGCTGAACCTGAATTCTTGGATAGCTTAGCTATTTAAGGTCACCTGGAGGTCAGGTAAAGGTCATTTCAAGGTCAAACTGAAGAAAAGACGTATTGAATTTTGACCAGTAAGTATATGTGTTTGGGCTCGCAGAATCTGAATCTGGAGATAGCGTAACCCTAATGGTCACCTTCAAGTCAATTCAAGGTCATTTCAAGATGAAACTAAAGAAAAGGCTTGTACTGAATTTCAACCAGTGCGTATATAAGGAAGGGAACTGAATTTGGGGATAGCTTAGCCCTACAAAGTAACATTTAGGTCAAGTCAAGATCATTTCAAGGTCAAAGTTTACTTTTCTTTAGAAAAGGCCTTTCACGAATGTTAACCTGTAAGTATGTATGCTTTTGAGGTCGCTAAACCTGAATTTGGGGATAGCTTAGCCATATAAGGTCACCTGCGGGGCTTGAATTGAGAATAAGTCAAATGAAATGATCTTGACTTAATTTCCAGGTGACCTTATAGGGTTAAGCTATCCGCGAATTCAGGTTCAGCGATCCCAAAAGCATACATACTTACAGGTTAACATTCGTGAAAGGCCTTTTCTTTTACCTTAAAATGATCTTGACTTGACCTAAATGTAACCTTGTAGGGCTAAGCTATCCCCACATTCAATCCCCCCCCCCCAAAAAAAACATATACATACTGGTTGAAATTCAGTACAAGCCTTTTCTTTAGCTTCATCTTGAAATGACCTTGAATTGACTTGAAGGTGACCTTTAGGGCTACGCTATCTCCAGATTCACATTCTGCGAGCCCAAAAACCCATACACTCACAGGTCAAAATTCAATACAAATCTTTTCTTCAGTTTGACCTTGAAACGACCTTTACCTGACCTCCAGGTGACCTTAGATAGCTAAGCTATCCAAGAATTCAGGTTCAACAATCCCAAAAGCATTGTACCTACTGGTCAAAATTCATTACATGCCTCAGTTTTTGCATCCATCAACATGAAACTTTGTGAAGATTACTCAGTCCTACAGCCAAAATCACACACTTCTCCCCCTCTATATCTCTGAAACTATCCATAGGATCACTTTGGGCCCTTGACAACTTTTCATCAGAATGTCGAGGAGAACTATAACATATTACAATTCCAGCCAAATCTTGCGGGACCCAATTTCCATTCATTTTGTGCGGGGTCCTTTGTACCTTGTAGGACTCCAAGATCCATCGGTTAACATGGCCTTGTGGAAACTTGTCCACATTATTGCACTCTCGCGACAGTCTTCCGACCAAATCTTGGCGGACCAGTCTCCGATAGTTAAAAAGTTCTTGACAAAGCCAGGGTTTCTCTGCAGTGCTAAAACTGGCCCCATATGGGCAGAGAACCTGGTAGTCATTTTCTCTAATGCGGTTTTGCCTTTTCTGTTGCAAGAAATTACCACTCCCTGCTCTGTGCCAACCATAAAACGGGTCGGGATGGTATTCTCGTACTCTAAACAAGACGCTCCAAATGCATTAGATATTTTTTGATCTTCTTCTTTGTTGTTGTCAAGAATTAGAGTTTCCGTGGGTTCTGACAGTTTCCTTATGTCCCACCTAATGAGATAAAATTAATGGTTTACAAATAAATGAATTTTACTTGTACCTGCAATAATTACGTTTTTTAAATTATCAACGGAAAGTACACAATTATTCTGAAATACGCTCAATCATAAACTTAGTTAAATTATTATTGTTTCTTACCACTTCACCTGTCCGTCTGTGGACGAGCTGAAAAATTCTGTTCCCGTTTTTGAGTGTATCCATAACACATTATGTACAGGATCTCTAAAACTTGACTCGATAACACTTAATTCAACAGGTTCGTAACTCTTTCTTGTATCCCAAAGGGCTACTTGTCCGTTTATCTGACCACTAACCAAGGAATGTGGATCTTTTTGGTTATATTCCAAGCAAACCACCGAATATTCTGGTTTGAGAATAATCAAAGGACGATTCGGATTTTCTAGGGAAAAAAGTAAGAACATGACCTAAATAAAGTCTACATCAAATTTTGCTGTACATGCAAGTGATTCAAATAGAAAATATACCAAAAATACACCTTTTGCAACAGGCAATATAATTTAGCAGAATTTTTAAATTAAATTTTTCCCGACTATTCTCCAATTTATTAAATACTTTGGTTGTTACAAGGGTGGATCATACAAACTGGATATTCGTTCTGACAAGTTGTGTAGTGAACAGAGGGGGGCATAGCTTTAGGATGTTGTAGGTAGTGATGTCTAGATTAGATCCCTGCCCTGGTTCACTTCACACAACAGACTTGAAACTCAATTTGAGGATAAAACCTTTAAGAAGGCCTAAATTTATGAATGACAAAAAATTCTTTTATGAATGAGAAGTGGTCGAAAATGAAACCAACTAATAAAATTTTGAAAAACAAACGATGATCACCTTCTCGAACATCACTGGTAGGTTTCGTTTTCAACAGATCAAGTTAGAAAAATTTTTTGCTTTAATAGCTCTAAAATGATATAACATAATTCCACTATGCGCGCGCTTGAAAACGTGTGCTAAACTTATTAAACAAATAGTGGAAAAATTGGAAAAAATTCCACTTTTTTTTTTCTCTTTTTTTCAACACAGTTCAAAAACTATTCATTTTAGAGAAAAATTGAAGAGCAAAAAAAGATTCATAATTAAATTTTACACATGATAAGTATACCTATTTTCAAATAAAAAAATAAAACATAATTATTGCAAATATAGCAAAAACAAATAAAAGTGAAAAAAGTTACAATATTTTTGCGATTTTTTTTAAGAGTACTTATATTATAGGTAGGATCTTCATACTTGTCCAAAAAAATCTTTTTGATGTAATAAAACGTCACACCAATTTTCGTTAAAATCGGTCCTATAGTTTTCGAGTAATAATTTTGCAATCCAGATTTTTGAAAAAAAAATTGCAATTTTTGCAAATTTAACTGAGCCTAAATTAAGACTTCTAGATACTTTTCACGAAAAATGTATGGGAGGTAGTGGTGGGGGGTCCAGAGCTCGGCTACTCCGGCCCACTCGAAATTGAAATCACGCATTCAAAATAGTGGCGAGTTTAAAAATTTTTATTATCTCGGCTTCTAGTAGTCCAATTTTGATGTTTTTTTTAAATGGATGTCTCGCGAGCTGAAAAGTCCAAATATCGCATTTTCAAATGCGAATTATTGTTAATTATCGTCCTATTAACGTATTGATAATTACTACTTTTTAATTTACTTTACTTTTCTCGTATTTTTCTTTATTCTATTAATGAATATTACTCAAATTTATATATAGTTTTTATCCATACATTGTATTCAATTTGTTGAAACTTTCAAAATTTGTTCAAACAATACTTAATTATATAAATAAATTTTTAAAACCAAATTATCTTATACTACAAATTTTGAATGTTTAAATAAATTGAAAATATTTTACAGAATTAATTAAATTTTTAAAAATTTGCAGATATTTTTTTGTTCATAAATAAATAAATAAATTTGATTCATTACAATTCAGGAATAGGCCTGCAACAGAATTTTTAAAAACCTGTAGGCCACTCAAATTGTCAAAAATTCCTCTTTTTTTGCCAAAATTTAGTTCAGTAAACAAAGGCATGTAAAAATTAGGAAAAATTCCATAGAATTGTATGAATTACTTTATCCCCAGCTGAATGTTAGGGCTTCATTTTCAAAATGGCATCTAAAATTTGCAAAAAACAGTTTTCATTTAAAAAAAAACTAAGCATTTAAGAAAAAAGTGATTTAGACAAAAGTTATTGAACTTTTTATAACAAAAATTTTGAACCCAACGGGATGTCAGTTGATAAACAAATGTATGTATGTAGTTACTGCAAAAAAACGGCTAAAAATCGCATTTTTTTAAAACTATATCTTTAAAACGAAAAAAGATTTTTTTAGGAAACTTTCTAAATATGTATCGTTAATCGAAATGCCACTTTTGTACTTGGAAACTGACAGAAATTTTTTCATGAATTTCAAAAAAAAAATGTCCTACGACCAACAGGAGCCGAGAATTTTTTTTTTTTTTTTCAAAATTTACAACCTCATTTATTAATATTAAGGTCTGAAATTTACACATGTTGTAGTTGAATACTTTTACTTCAATATTAAAAATAGTCCGCAATGATTGACCTCCTTTTTTTTACATTAAACTTAATTTTGTTGGACCCCGTAAAATACATGCTCCGTTTGACACAACAAACAACCGGTCAAAATTTCTCCTGTTGTTCGTAGAATCTTTTTTTTTAAATTCGTGAATAAATGTCAGCTCCAATGGCAATAATGCCATTCCGATTTAAATTTCAACGATAAGAAAAAGATCTACATTTTTTGACCCGAAAAAAGAAGTCAAAAGTTTTGGTACATTTTTCACATATTTCCAATTATTTTGCACTACACACACAATTTGCACAGGAAAATACAACTCTTAGAGAAAATTTTAAGCCCAAGATGAGTCACGTAAGTGCATTACTATATGATTTATTGAAACTTGAAAAAAATATCCTTTTTTTCGAAAACTTAATTTTTGCAAACACTGTCAAATATTTTGCAATTTTACAGAAATGCGATTATTCTACTTGCTAAGGACTACATATTCTGAAAGTTCGTAAAAAAATCTTTTTTCATTTTAAAGAGTAGAAGTTTTTAAAAAATGCGATTTTTAAATGTTTTTTTGCAATAACTAATACAATTGTTTATCAATCGATATCAGGCTGGGCTCAAAATTTTTGTTATAAAAACTTCTACAACTTTTGCACACTTTTTTTCTAAAATGTTGTTTTTGTTAAATGAAAAAAAAAACTGTTTTTTTGCGAACTTTGGCCACCATTTTGAAAATGAAGCCCTAACATTTTGCTGAGGTAAAGTAGTTCATTCAATTCTACAGAATTTTTTCTAATTTTTACGTGTCTGTATACTGAACTAAATTTTGGCAGGTAAAAATCTAATTTGACTAATTAATTAATTAAAAATCAAGATTGAAAACTTTCTGCGTATTATGCAAATTCGTCAACATTTTTCCATAGTGAAATCGTAAATGAAGTTTTGTGTAAAATTGAATTGAATTGATTGATCACCATTTCCGTGATTAATAATTTTTAAGAAACAGCACAGAGTTGCGCTTTTTTAAACGGAATTCAGCTACAAACTCATAAAAATCCTTTCTTCTTCTTCTGGTTTCATAAGTATAGGCACAGTATAGAAAACAGTAAATTCACTGCCTATCTAAGCTATTTATTAAAAATGGACCCTAGTTTCATTTTTTATGTTGTTTTAAGTAACTGCGGAGAGACCACGTGCAAGTATGGGAACCTCAAAAGCTGAAAGCTAAGCTGGGCTTGTTGGTGGACTAGGGGCTGGGCTTGCTATTGCGCATCGATCACACGTCCCTTTAGTGGACTTTTAAAGCCGTGGTCCACAAAAGAGGGGGAGTGAATTACTGTTTTCTATACTGTGGTATACCGCAATTAAATACTAGGTTAAACTGTAGTTAGTTTATATTAACGAAAAAGGTTTTTATAACCATATGTCTGAAAACCTCTAATTTTTGAGGTGATCAAAATGAATGAAAATGGTTTATTTCCTTTTTTTAATATGCATTAAATATCATGCTCGTGTTCAAGAAAAACACAATTCACGAGACATATGTACTGATATTATTAAAACTTACCAACTTCCCAAATATACGAAAATGTGGAGTCCCTTTGGCCTTTTGGTTGAAATATTAAATTGCAGTGTGACACAGCCAATTTTGTTTGATTATCAGGAGACCAAGATATATGTGTAATGGGCCTAGTAGGGTTGCATTGGTCCTGATATAGATTAACAGTTCTCGCTGAACTCCTTTCTACCAAAGTTGTGGGCTCAACGTCTGAGAAATATTGCTGGTATATATTTATGGCATTGTTTTGCAAAATACAGTTTTCCATATTCTAAAATATGTAGTGCAATAATATTTTTATTACAAACATTCCTTTACATTTACTTTATTATAAAGATATTCAAATAAGTTAAAAAACAAAATTCCTAAAAAATCTTATCAAATAATGACTTAAGAAAAAATTTTTGGTTCAACTACTCATTTTTGGGACAATCCTCCATCTACTGTATTTTGTTCGACACCATATTTTAGTATAATTTAACTTATTAACCCCTTATACTTTTACATATCCTTACGTAACTTTTGACTCGACATAATTTTTCAAAATATATTTGTAGTAAAAATTAATGAAACCCACCTTAAATAACTGCATCATCGTGTGATAATATCCCTCATCTTTCTCTATTTTTCTTCTATACCGTTTGGTTTGTTCTTCATCAGCAGTATTTACATCTTTCGGCCAGCCACCTTCGACGTGATTCATGGAAGAATTTGTGAACTCTGCTCTCATAGTATTTAAGTAATGTTCTGCTTGTATAGGAGCACATTGTGTACTTCTTGATACAGGATCTCTAAATAAATTGATAGGTAGGCAACATACCCCCAACGTAAATTATTCTTACCTTAAAAGGAAGTTCTTATGCAACTGTTTGTCGGATGGAAAATTGTCTATTAATTCTGGTCCTCTATCTGAAAATAAACATTGCCTCCCAAATTCGCTTCTTTTCTTTTGATATGCGTATTGAACTTCCATGTTTATAATTAACAAACTAGTTATTTCTGAAGTATAATCAATAATATGGAAACCATGGAGATCGAGGTCAAAAAAAATTGTCTTAAAATAACTATTTTAACAAATTACAAACTTAGTTAATGATAATGTTAACCATCTTGTTTACTTTTTGTTGATTGAGATAACTTCCGGTTCTACAACAGAAACAAAATTGAATTTAAATAAAATAAAAGATTATAAGGTTTCATCGAAACATTCAGATATGTATAATAATAAAAAAAACAGTACGAACTTAAAGTATAAATTGTGAACAAGAAATTTCTGCCTCCCCCTACACAAGTATCATTCATCTCATTACATGATTTATATTGACTTTCTAATAAATACATTTAATAAAGAATGTGACATTACCTGAACCTCCAGTAAATGCAAAAATTCTGTGCAATATTTGTCAGAAACACGATTGATACAATTTTTATAACTTTCAAACTGCTGTATTTGTTTCTGAACCAATATAAACTGTTTATTGTCAGGTGTTGATGTATGAGCGTTTTTTGATTTGTTCACATTTGTTACTTTCGTTAAAGATTTATTTTTTAGAAGACGGCTATTCGATGTACTATCACTTATTTTCATTTCATCTAACTGTGAAATCGGGTCTAAATTTTGTAAATAATCTTTTCGAATAACAATATTTTCAAGAGCGCTATAAATTTTTCTACTTTTACAACACTCTACTTCACTTTCCATATATTGTTCGATAATCAAATTCAAATCTTCCACACTGAAAATAAAATAATCAATAATTTAATATTAAAACTTGTAAAATGTTTACCTCATATTAACTGTATTTGAAACTGTATAGATAGTAGACACGTCTTTAATAAAAACAAAAACGGAAAAAACAATTTTAACCACAAAACCATGGAGACTATACGAGCCCGAACTCCATGTAAACAAAAATCTTACAAAAATAAGAGGGCGCTAGTGTTCCGTATGACCCATATGTAGAGAGGGGAGATGAAAAGCGGCAGTTTGAATTATAAATCGCCATTATTCTATGGCTAGAAATTGGCCTCAATGATTTGGGATCGAGGGGGATTATCCCTCTTTATCCTGCCTCATCTCGTGTAGGCCTG